CTTTAAACTGCGCGTCCAACAAGTCGGTGACGTCATACACGATCTGCTAGTACAGCAAGATCATACTCGGTGAATACAAGGGCGGTATTATTATGTAAAAACAGGTCATAATCAGTATATGATGAAGTATTTTGAGAAACGGGGAACACAAAAATTATTTTTGCATGGCTGATGACGGAAATCTTATGTAGGTATATCTTATTTCGCTTATTTAGCTTACGTGTGACGTCATAGTTGGTTTTTCCCGTACTCGAGAAATGTAAACATGACAAGTTTTTGTCCTGCTTATGTCGTCTTCAACGATGTCCTGTGCAATATTGAGGTCAGCTTCACCATTCGAAATTTTTACAGTTAATCAATAATTTGAAGGACTTGCATTTCAACGTAAATTTAAAAATATTGAATGATAGGATTTTTTGTAAATTACGTTTTTTGTTGTTTAAGTTGTCTTAAAAAGTTCGTAATTATCCCTATCCAGATGCAGTGTGATAGATGAAACTTGCCTTTTCGAATTTTAAACCCAATTCATACTCTGAAATATTTTAAAAGATACACGTTCACTTACATATTTTTTATATTTGCTTTAAAAATCCAATTATGGACAGAGTAATGAGCCCGACAACATGGAGAATTAAAACTCCACTTAGATACTGTAGGGCATAATATTTGTCAATCAGTATCTCTAAAATAAGGTAAGAAACCTAATGATATAACTGCTTTAAGATATGTGGGACATACTTAATAAGAAATATACAAAATATAAAAAAAAAAATGAATGACAAGTATTTTTTCAGCTAAAGGTCCTTCTTCCCCTTAAATGAACCACAGTCTTCAGTTTAAGTTCTTCAAAAAATATTTTGCCGATGTGTACCTCTACAAAAATACTTTATTTGTGTGGTTAATGATTATATGAATGAGACAATGATATTTGACAGCCAGACAAGCTGAACTTTTTTGATAATCAGGGATTTTATAGAAAGCCGATTGAAAATTTCTTCTCCGCGTGAACAACCAAAGGGTGGGGGGGGTGGTAACTTTTGGAACTTCCTGTCCAAATACGACTCGAACGATTTTGTCCAAAATGTGCATACGCATTGTATATATAGTCAAGTATAATATAAACAAAAATAGCGAAAATTAAACGACAGGAATTTTTGGGTGGTAGGTGTGTTGTACGTCCTTAAGTGTGCAATTATAACGTTTTTACAACGTTATGACTTTAATAATTTAATCGATAATAATTTTAAATAATTTAATTATTTTGACGTAACGCCAATGTGTACAAACACCGTGCGCAACGTCGTTTTACCGGGAGTGTTCAATTTGTTTACCCTGCACATATCACTGAGCACTGACTGACAATATTGGTGAGTTGGTTTTGCTTTCTTACATTTCCTCTCCGGATTATTGTTTTTTTCCAATATGTGGAGCCTATTGGTAAGAGAAAATTCTCATAGATCTTTATTTTGTTTTGAACTCGGTGTTTACTATCATTTCCAATTGTTTAAATTTATGAAGGAAGCACATTTTAATTTGTTTATACATATTTTGAAAAAAATTGATTTGTTAATAGCCCCCCTCCCCCCCTTACCCCCTTAGGAACAGATAGCTTATGCTCATATCTTCCATTGTGTACACATGTACATGTAGCATGTAAATTAAATGTATCGATTTTATACAATTTATTAATCCAGAGCCATTAATAGATATTTAGAAAAAGAACAGTTATTTTAGAAGTACATCCACCACTATTGTTTATTTTCAATACACAAAAATTCACAAATGAGGTCGGAATCAGTATTCAGTGAAGTTCAAGGTCAAAGTGAAAGTAGAGTGGCAGTAAGTTATCGAAACTGCTTAGTGCTACCTAGTGCAGAGTCTTGTAGTATGTAGGTGATATGCACTTGTCATTTTATGAAAGAGGTAAAGAAAAAAAAGGTTTCCATGCCTTATTACAATATTTGTAAATGAAAACTTTTATTTTCATGGAATAGAATTACATGAATGAGGACATAGTATACATGTGCATTCTTTCAAAGAAGTTGGTCAGGCAACAGTTCTGTGGAAGTTAAGCAGTGTGTGTGTGAACATGCACACTAACATTTTTTATATTTTACATGTATTAACTGCATTACATGTATTTGTCTAATGTATAATTATTGTCAGTAAACATGCTTTTTACCTGTATTATTAATTTACATGTAATTTAACAATGTTGAGACTAATCAGTGCAAATTCATAATTTTCAACTGATATTAGATTATGGGTATAAAAGGAATGTGGTAGGATTGTGTGTGTTTGGTGTCTGTCTGTGAATGTTTTAGGTGCTTTTGATGCTGATAAATTATTGCACCATTTTTTAAATTGATTTTTTTTTTAGGTTCATGGTGATACAGGACAACTTCGAGGTTCATGCAGATGGTGTTTAAAGCTATCAGTCAGCAAAAACAAACTCATTTGAACACATCTTGAGTCTTCACATGTAAAATGATGGCAGTACTTTCAATATGTAAGTTGAATTTTCTAAAGCTTCTTTGTGTGTGTGTGTGTGGGGGGGGGGGGGGGGGGTGTTAAAGCTTGGAAATGTAGATTTTAGATGAATATTTGAGCTATGAAAGTGACCATCAAACTAATCTGTACATGTATGCTATATATTTTACAGCTAATATAATTTGAAAAGAATTTCAAAACAATATTTAACATTCATAGTGTTGTGTATGGTAAAATATTAAGATTAAAAAATATAAGAGTTAAAATTTCTTTAATATTTGTCAGTCAAAACGAGCAAATTGTAAGGAAATTCAAAAAATTTTCAAAGTTCTCTTTCATTTTTCTACAAATTACAAAATGGTTACCATGGAAACAAAACATTTTCTGTAGACTATTTATTTGATCTGCTCATGCAAGTATTTTATTATTTCAGAGTTATAATGAATATTTTAGTTCTAATTTCATCTTTAATTAAAAGTACGGGAAAAGTAACACTACATGTGTAATAAGCAATCCATTATTATGATGACATTATGACGTCATAGATGAGTGAACTTGCATTGGCGTAAAAATTGCTTTGAAACAGATGAATGTACACAAGAATATATAGGCTTATAACTTTTTTATTCCTACACCAATTTTCTTGAATGATACATCAATGGACAGGAAATAATCAGTACTTCCTATTTTTACTACTTTTGGGGTATTTGTAAACTTAATTTTTTTGTCTATCATGGAGAAACAATGAATTCAAGGATGAGGGATGATCAAATTTTGTGCGAAAATGCATTGATTTTTTGAAATAAGAGAAATGGACCCATATGAGTGCTTGATTGTAATTTTGCTTGATGTATTTAAAGTCATGAAAGAGAATAAAAGTGGTATAAGTACATTAATAGGCTAACCGATGACTTAAAATGTGGGTGCAGTTGTGGCTAGATGGAAGCATTTTTAAAGGATTTTGCATATAGAATTGTGCATGCTGTAAAATCTTTATTAATGATTGAATTTTCCTGAAATTTGGCATAGTGTCACTACATAGACTGTAGTATGACTTATGATGTAAAATGTTGTAAAATCCAGAAAATACTTTTTGATATTGGGTACATACCTCTAATTATTTTTAGAATCGGTAGGGGAAGAAAGTAGTGCAGAAAAAATACAAGTTCCTTAATTTGCAGACCTGAATTAAAAAAACTGTGATAATGTATTAAACTGAGCCTCATACTTGTTGATAAGGAGTATGTTCCCTTGCAAAAAAGCTTGGCAGATATAATTTATCAATAAGATCAGCAGAATTATTTGATGTATTATAACACCAGTGAGAAGTCTGGAATTCCCCTACTTTCACTTTCATTTTCAGAGGTTAACGCAGACAGACGCATTTTGCCGGAAAACGAATCCGACATGCCACCTCGAGATTTTAACCAAGGAAAGACAACTTGATGTGCTTTGATTTGAGGGGTCACTCACTGCTGAACGAAAATTAGGGACATTGCTATGTGAAGAAACGTTAACATTGCCGCCTATGGGAAAACAATTAGTGGACTGTACCCAATTATAACACAACAAATTTTCCTTCTCCTTACATACATGTATTAAGGATAGTTATAATGTTTACTTACAGTGCAATGATGTGTGTAAATTGTAACGCTACCCAAAATTCGTAGATTTAATACTTTCTAGGAAAAAGAAGTTTCTAAACACTATCTTATAATATTTCTGTGTGTTTGTTTGTATGTTGTTTAACGTCCCTCTCGAGAATTTTTCACTCATATCGAGACGCTACCACTTGCCGGTGGAGAGCTGCAAATTTTGTCCTATATTCGGCACTTACGGCCATTGAGCAGTGAGGGATCTTTTTCGTGCTCGGACTTACTGCGACACGGGACCTCGGTTTATACGACCACGTCTCCACGTCCCACCCGCAACGTAAGGATCAACTCCTTACTTCGCGATTCTAGAGGAGACGCTCTAACCACTGCGCCACGCGGGCGACTATTTCTGTGAGAAATGCTCTAACAACATACAAGCAATAATACTATACAAAATTTTAGAAAATTTTAATTTCAAATCTGTGTCCAATGCCAGCTTCTCATCCCTCCCCCTTGAACTACAAAAAACGTAACAATAAGCATGGCCGTAGACCCACCCCTTTCCAAATACTTTTTCCGATATTTTTTCCCGATATATACTAAACTTTAAAAATACCTACTTTTTGCTTGTGCCCCTCAATTATACCGTCTGATGACCTTATTTATTTTTATTACTTTTTTAAAATAATATATATATTTTTCTTTTTGCTTATCAAGGATTTTTTACTTGATGGTGCCTTTCCCACCCCCTACTAAATTGCTTCCTACTGATAAGAACCATGGAGAAATGATTAATAAAATATTCATGATCAATTCGCGATAATCACTGAAAAATAAGCTTCTGTGTGTAGTTATTTTGGATGGTCAACTAGTTTTAGCATGCGACGAACTCAGGTGAAATATCAATGAAAAGGGGTATCATTATTGGTGAATCAGTGTGCACACGGTGTGTTATGACACCGCTGGTAGTCATGTTTTTATAGGTTTGGCATTAGCCATCGTTTACCGATTGGTTTTCTCATCTGTCGATACAAAGACGACCCGTTTGATTAGTACTTCCGTCATTGCCCAGGGCACACAGTAACACGACAGCAAGGTGGTACTAAAGTCAAACATTAACTGATTCTGTTCAGAACTTTAAAAAGAACGATAAGAATATAATCTGTCATAAACACATAATAACAAAAGGTAAGACAATTACTTCTTAATATATATTATCAAAATTAATGGTTTTTACCCTAGACTTATTGATTTCAAAACTTACTGTTTTATTTATTAATTTATTTATTCACTTATTTATTTATTGTCCCTGTAAAAAATAAGTTTCAGCTTAATTTGTATAGACCGATGAATTAGGGATTAAGAAAGGGGGTTGTAATATATGAAAAGAAAGAGGTATGACAACCAATACACATATCAGATTTTTTTACAGTGAGTATAACCTCGATAATGGAACATTTCTCTTGAATTAAAGTTGTCATTTTACAAGAGCTCAGTCTACGTTTTACTTAAATTTATGCTGTTTACCTATGTAAATTCTAGACAAAACGATTTGTAAAAATTATGATTAATACTATTTACAAATGTCGGAAATATAAGAAAAAGTTTTAAGATAGAATTAAACGAGTCGTATTTGCCTTGACAACTGTGCCAGGTGCAATTGATGGGTTACATTTTGCAATTCAATATAAACCTGTGATAAATACGTCGATAGTATTTAGTTATGTCATACTCAATGGTGAAGTAAAGATGCGATATTCAAAGCACAATACCTGACTTTACACAAAATTATAAAAACTTCCTGTAACTGATAAAAAGGATTGGACTCAAATGCATACATAGATGTTCTCAAAACAACGACTACGACACACACACACACACACACACACACATTTAAAGGATACACTTACATTTTGATAAAAATGAAATCAAAACGGAAGAATACAAATATATGGATATGTAATGAATAAATGGGTAGATCAATCATAGCAATATAGGGTGCATTTTGCCCCCAGGATATTTACGAAGTCTAAAGATCCATGTTATTCATTCGTTTACAGTTAATCACTTGTCACGAAACAGGAGAAACGAAGATTTTAACATGAAATAACCGATTTACTGATACCTCTTAACTTTATTTATCACTTCAGAAAGAGGGCAATTATAACCCATTTCGAATATAGATTTAGAAAAATAAAGTTTTAATAAAGTTTAATTTTTTCAGCTTTTGACTAAGTTACTGAGATGATAGCAATACGGATAGCATTTCTTTTGTTTTGGATGGCTGTGGTATGTGGACAAGGACAAGAATTTGACTTATCACAATTTGACTTTAGTGGAGTAAATTTTAATGCAAATCAGCCTTCCAGTGGCCCAACGCAAGCTCCCGTTGGATTGGCATTTTCAAATCAGGCATCGGGGAACAGTTTTCCACCATCACCAATGATGGCTTCCCAAGGGAAACAACAGCAAAACCAGCCCATGTTTAGTAACCCACAGCAACAGGGAAACCAATTAGCCTTCCCAACACAAAATCAAAATCAACCACCTCAAACCCAATTCTCTCAAACAAGTATACAGTCTTCCCGAGTAAATAGTTTAACTCCAGAGGAAAGCTGGTTAACAGTAGGCGGATCTCAGATGCAGAATCGTAACCCTGGACTGACTGGTCCCATGGTGAACGGCTTATCCCCCAACAGTAACGGACAATCCGGCTTCCCCAATCAAAATGGATTTGCCCAAAGAGGTACACAAGGAGGATTCCTAAATAGAGGTCCTCCAGGTCCAGGTTTCACCAATCAGGGACCCAGGCTCCCTCCCAATAGGGGACCGGGTGGAGGATTCGAACAGTTCGGAACACCAGGGAATGATATGCTCACATTTAACGTGAACGCCATGGGACAAGGGCCCAGCGATTTCAGTGCTTTTAGCAATAATCCTTTTGCTGGCACTCCTTTCGGAGATGGACTTAACATTGATCAAAACCAATTTGGTAACCCAAACCTTGGTAACCCTAACACGAGAATTCCTAATATGAACACAATCGGGAGGCCACAGGTCACCATAGTAGATGCTGCCAATCTCCCCCCAAGTGTTCAAATGGCGATGAACATGAACGGAAGACCGGTAGGGGGCTTTATGGGACCCGTTCCTGGAGGATTACCTGGCTTAGGGAGTTTCACAGGATTTCAGCCACCGATACTGACGTCACCAATCCAACAACAGAGTCGTGGAGGATTTGGGGGATTGCTTAGCAGGCGTAAGTTTAAATTACAGCGCACTCTAAAAAAAAACACGCCTTCATTGACCCAAATTTTAAGCAGTGTCTTACATGTATGCATAGCTTTAATTAGAAACAAACATTTTTCCTTCCTGAACATAAAATGTCTAACATACACATCAATCAAATCCATTCGTCTCTGCACGAAAAATATGATTGGCATTCTAGTTTTTAAAAAAGAACATTTAAATTAAGAATAAATACCAGTAAACAAACGAATACTACATTTAATGAGTTTTGATATGAAAAGGTCTTTTTTCGAGACATTTCATACATATTCAAAACTTGATTTTTTTCGATTGCAGTTTTTGGTTGAAGATTATTACCACAACAGGTTCATAATCGGGAAAAGAACAATCTTCTACATCAATATTTTATTTGAGATGCAGCTAGGAGATTCTTGAAGTCCTTTTTTTGCTACAAACAACCACGGAAGATACCATTGGAGTAGTGCTATAAAATACATTTAGTTTTTAAAAATTGATTTATGAATTCTGATCCTTGAATAATATCAACTTGTTCCATGTACAATTTACTTTGAATATATATATATATATATATATATATATATATATATATATATATATATATATATATATATATATATATATATATTACACTTTATATACTGTATTTCACTTATTGGTTAATATTCTGCACTTTAGACAGCAAACTGCATTATAATAAGGTATAAGGAATTTCTAATGTTTCGTGATACATGTATGATTTTTATTCAACTCCTTACAAGTGTGTTTTCTATCTCTGTGAAGAAAGGCTAATAGGGGATAGAAAACACAACTCGTTTGAGGCATGCGAGATGCAAAATATGACTTTTATATACTGGTAATTATTAATTTTTCATAGTCATTTGTAGGGGAAACTCAATACTTATTGTTCTCTGGGGAAGTTAGTCTATGAAAAATTGTATTCATTGATGCTGTTTGTTGAAATAAATTGTTGATGCTGTTAAATAGTGTAAATTATAAATCCTTTAAACCATGATCAATTGGTAAGCGTTTTTAAGAGGCTACACTAAAAAAAATCACAATTACTCAGTCAACTTGAACCTACTGCAAATACTCTTAACAAACAATAACACGCAAATAAAAATATACCAAAAACATTCTTATTTGCGATTCAATTCGTCTGGAACAAAGATGGTGTGTGTGTTTATTCACTGTAATTAAAGCGCTTTGCTGTTCTCTCAACAGCAATTCCCATTTACAATCTCTGAACCAATCTTTGTACAAGTAATAGGAACTGCTTTTGATCGTGGAATCTTATGATATTTATCTTATGTTATTATATGTACACATTTCTCTTCGTATTTAATAGAAAATTGAAAATATACAATTCTACTTAATTAAACGAGAAATTATTATAATGCATTACATGAAATCCCACGCAAACCCAGGGAATTGAAATTTTTCGCAGTGACAGAACAAGTCCAATTCGATTGGTTAATACAAGAGTAAAAAGTTCCTCTTCAATTTTGACAAATTTTCTCCGTTTTATTTTTTAAGTGAGCACGAGACATAACGATCCAGTACACCTGTAAGTATACATAACATAAAAGTTTGCTTTTCTTTTTATCATGTTTATCAAGGATACAATCTGATACTCTTAATAACAGGTTAAATAGAATTGCGGAGAAAGAAGATGGGCGTGTTTGGCGTGTGATCTGCAGGAATAAGGCGTACGAAACATTTATAGTTTAAATGTCTACGATTTGGTCGGCTGACCACAGCTGGACGCACTTTACAAAGTTACGCACATGGGAAAATGTTACATTTAGTTTGAAATACTGTGTCGAATTTAATATATCAGTCCGCTTATTTTAATAATTACTACATGTAAGACTTAGTAACGCTTCACATAAGTAATAAACACCTATGGGGTATAGTTAAATGCAATTACATGTATATATATTAAAGTGTCAGTAGGTTGGAAAAATTGCTTTCGCTTTCGGTGCAACAGAACCAGAATTTATCTATTTGAAAATAAATCAGTACATAAAATTAAACTGACAAAAGAATTGATTGTTTGTACAAAAAAAAAAATATTAACGCTCCATGCGAGGATCGAACCAAAAATATTTACTTTTCATTGCACTGGACGGGTTACGCATACTACTGAGCTATCACCGCTCCACACACTTTATGGTTTTTTTAAAGCGACAATGAAGCACCGCATTTACACGTTGGAATTTTTTTGGAAAAAGTTCATTTTTTATTGTCTCTGGGTCTTCTCTCCATTTTTTACAAATGTTTGTTCGTTTCTTTGAATTAAAATGCGCACAAATAACGTTTCAAAATCATGGAGAGATGACCCAGAGGTAGCAAATTTTTAGAAAAACGTGTTTGAAAATGTAACATTTTGTTCCAAATGACTCATCTGGCCAATTTTCAAGTTATTTTTTAGCAAACCAAAATACAATATCGGGAAAATATTTCCATTTCCACAGGAACCCAATACAGCAAAAGAATGCTAAAATTTTATGTGACAGATCAATGAAATTTTTCACTTTTCAAGTGCGCCCAGATTCCTGCCGAATGCCAATCAAAAGCGCCCTCGTTCTTAGTTACGAACGTAAGAGAGTAAAAGTCAGAGACCTAAAAAAAATGTAGGAGATAACCATTATCTTATTCTGGAGATTAATTATCTATTTCGATGCAGCAAGATTCAGAGCATTTTTTTTATGATCTGTCAAAGGTTTAAACTTATAGCCATGCAAGCAATATCTTTCCATTTCTTTATTGTATGCCTTTATCATTGTGGTAAGATTGCGGCATTAAATGGTAAATTAGTTTTACCCATTTATTGTCATTTTGAATTAAAGGACTGCAAACATGGAATTTTTGTATGTTGTTACAGGTAATTATTATTATTTTTTCACAAATGCCTACAATAAAGTGCAAAAAACAAATCAGCAATTGCTTCATAAAGCATACAATGTAAATCTACAAAAGTCTTTTGTTTGTAGTTGATTGCTGATTTAGAGAGAAGGAGAGAAATAGGGAGAAAGAGAGAGAGGAAGGAGGAGAGATGCTGCTTATTAGCTAATGAGGAAAAAACCAAGTCTTTGGAAACCTTGATTTGATCACGGCGGTTATAATCAGTCAGACCCTTCTCAGTATGAAAAGCCAAATTTCCCAATCTTTATAAAAAATCTTATAAAAATCTTTATGTCTTCTAATGCTTATAGGCAAGCTCACTGCAGCTAGTTTTTGCTAATTTTGTACAAGTCAAATAAAACACTTTCATAGAGATGAATAATGTCATTTATTAAAATGACGGTATAAACATAAACAATTTAACACACAAGAAGGGGATCAGATTCACAAGTTTTGGTAATCAGTTACGTAAAATATGATAATGTCTGATCCCCCAAAAATTACTAGGAAAAAGTACCTGTAAAACAAGACAATCAAAACATCATAAGAAAAAGTTAGCAAAAAGATGGCACATCAAAACAAAATAGGCCACAAGATGTGACATGCAAGTCACAACCATGTAAGACCCTTCTTAGTATGAACAGCCAAATTTCCCAATCTTACCCCCACTATACATATAATGTATAATGAGGCATTTTTTGTGTGGAACGATTATTTTGGGGTTTTCACAATTTTTCCGGTGGCACACAGGATGAATAAGTGCAATAAATATAATTTGTGAAAAAATGTCCAACAAGCCCTGGGGTTGAATATCCGGGGTGGGGGGGGGGGGGGGTCCTGTCCACAAGTGCCTGTGCTATATATTTCAAAATTGAGAGATTAGTTTTGATATCTATAAGTATAGTCTATGAATTAATAATTTTTCATTAAGACATCGCTTTTTGTATATGTAGGATCTAAGAATCATGAATATCTAATACAAATTCTTACAGCTTGAATCAAGATCTAGTCCAAAAATAAAAGAGCAAGGATCTCTTTGGAGTGACAATTTCCCTTGTCTGACAAAATTCAAAAAATAAATTGATGAGATCTTGAACGATGGGACATTCCCACACATATGATAAATTGTCTCTTCAGTTGAATTACAGAAACTACAAATTTTACTATCTTTCATCTCCCCTTTTTTGTATGTTAACACAGGTAATTAAACGTTCTTAAGTAATTCAGGACAGCAACAATCACGTTGGACAACCATGAATCTACAATTAATCTCATCTATATTAATTTTAATTCTTCGGTTAGAATGTCTTACAACTTTAACGAAGAATTCAAAAAAATTCTTTACATTCCTTGTAAATATTTTGATCTCTTACTGTGGTCATAACTAAACCCCTGGGCCATGGTTTGAATTATCGCATGTGTGTGTTTGTGGAGGAAAGGGGGGGGGGTGAGGGTGTGTAAGTGTGAGGGTCGGTTTTATTTGTGTAGGGGGTAGGTAGCGGGTAGGTACATGTAGCCATGTTCACTATATATTCCAATCCGTCCCTAGTTCTATTTCAATCACTGACAGATACTTAACAATTCATGCAGTACTTAATTAAAACATTTATTAAAAACAAAATAGTATACAAATATAAAGACATTCATAGCCACATAAAATTGAAAGCATCTATACACAGCGATTACCAAATTTCAGTCGATGATGTACCAGCTACTTATGAGGTTTTGTAGATCTAGTGATTAGTTATATGAATGCCTCTATTAATGTCCAATGTAAATGTAAATCCATTATTTTGAAATGAGAAATTTGAAAATTTAAAACTATTACAGACTCCGATCTAAACATGTTTGTTTTCGCCCACGAAAACAAATGGGTTTTTTTGGGGGGGGGGGGGTTACGTATAATGATTCAACAATTCATTCTCTGTATTGTACATTTAACAGTCATCTCAAGTTACATACACATGCATGCATTACAGAAAAAAAAAAGTTTATTATCTATAATATTTCCATTCCAGGCCTAATATGCATGTAAATCTTTGTGTTTGACGTCACTGGGTGGGGACTATAAAATTGACATGGGAGATCTCGTGTAATTTAACGACGTTGGATCCTGATATTTAAAGTCTTAAACTTTTTTTGTCAAGTATATTTTTAGCTTCTACACACATAGCTTAATTAAAAATCAAAACAAAAAATGAGGGTCAATATGCTTCTTTTGGCGCTACAATACATTTAAAATGACCTTTTTGCACTGAATTTGTGTCTTAATCAAAAATAACATCTTCGACGTTTTCCCTCCAATATTTTTTTTATCCAAATAAATCATGGGACAAAGTATGCTATTATTCTCTCTTAAAAAAGACACTTTAAAATTGTGACAAAGAAAAATTTTCAAATTGCTTCGCATAATCAATTATTTGACCTTTCTTCACTCACAAAATGTCATTTTTCGGGCATTAAAAATTTAAAAAGCAAGAAAGATATTTTAAAGTCTTAAACTTTTGCTGAATTTAAGTAGATTGATCAGAGTTATCTTAAATATTCAGAAAGAAAATCAAAAGTGGAGGTCTATGATGTTAATTTTTAGATATTACTAAAAAACTGTTAATTTTATGATAAAATTGGCTCAATTTTTTCCTGGAGTTTCAGAATATATTTTCCATATTTGTCACAATATGATGATAGAATTCGCAAAAACTGATTTAATTAATATTTTAGAACCAGCATTAAATATCTCAATGCACAAAATAGCTCTGTGTGCAACCAGCAGGGAAAAATAGGAATCAAAACTTAACAGTACTGTATATATTTCAGAAGGGAAAAAATGATCATTTTCTTCTAAAAAATCTTCCGCCACAAAATATAGTTCCTGGCTTAATCCTATTTGAATGGGATTTAATCGCGTTTTTTTCATTGGATATAGTATAATTTGCATTGTAGAATCCAGATTTAATGTTAGAACTTAAAAATAATGCAGAATTTTAGAAATAAAGCTCCAGACCAAAATCTGCTCAAAAGCTCAGGATTGAACGTCCTTAAATCTATTAGTCTACATTTTTAAAATCTAAATTTACAATTTTATTTCACAATGCAATGGAAATATAAGGAATCACTGTCTAGTTAGTAGAGTATGCCAGGGACATCAACGATAGTTGGAAACGTGGGATAATTTATGCAAATAATATGTTATAATATATTATAATATGCAAATTATCCCACGTTTCCAACTATCGTTGATGTCCCTGGCATACTCTACTAACTAGACAGTGATTCCTTAATTGTAAAGGCATGATTCATGCTAATCTAGCGGGGTGGGAGAGGGGGTTAGAAAGGTCCGCCCCCGGAATTTTCAGAGTTTTGAAATTTATGTAAATTGACAATATTCCAACATGAAAATGGATTTCTTTAGTTATCCAACGAGATACTGGTAATCAACTTGAAACTGCAAATCACGTTTCTTTAAAATTTTAAAATGTTTTGTGGATATACTGACTGCAGCAGTGTAAAGGTGCTTGATTGTGCACACAGTGTCAGGAGTGTTGGATAAGCCGAACTTCGATATAGAATGAATGTCCTTTCCACTCGAATACTGGTATCGAAATTCAAATGAAATCTGGAAATATTTCATTTTAAATCAATCTGTAGGAAATATTAACAATAGTATGATGGTGAGGTAGCATACTGTGTCGTGAGTGTTGGAATAATTATTAACTGTACTTCAATATTAAAAAAAAAATGTATTTCTTTTCCGGAGAAATAGACGACTATCACATTTACGAGAGTTGTTTCCCTTTGCAGGCTGAAGCTGGGGTCAACAGGCGTAACCCACAGTTACGGAGAAATCGAAGACTATTTATAAATGTATATGCTCCTTACTATGGCAATACAGGAAGGGTACAAAATTACCCGAAAGCATTTAGAGGTCTAAAATATTTACAGGTACTAGTATAGTGAGGAAAATTATCGTTACGCCCACAAATTAAAGGGAGATAAATCTCAAGAATGTGAAAGTAAATTCGGAAAATGTTTCATTAAAATTCAGGTTCTGAGAATATATTAACTGCAGCAATGTGATGTTAAGGATTAAAACTGTTATACATGTAAGTATTGAATTTAGGTACAATATATCAGTATTCATGGATTTAAAGTGCAAAATTTAGTATATGCTGTGCAGATAAAGTGTTTCAGATTAACTGATAATTATACATTTTCTTTTTGTAAATTAAATAGATGCGTATTCAGGAGCAACAAAGCAACTCAAGTCCACGCTTAGTATAACGTTATTGTCGGATGGTTGTTGTCATCTCTGCTGAAACAATAAAGCATCACATTCAAAATACAACAATAAAGAACAATATAACAATTACAAAATATTTGTTTAACAGTATATTTTTCCTAGGACACATCATATTCTCCTAATTGGATGAATATCCATCTGAGTCAGCTGTAAAAATTCGCATTCAAATCATTATTCTCTCAATTAGTCTAGATAAAATAAGACAAAATGAGATAAAGCAGGGAGATAACGATGCGTTTAATCTCAGATCTTAGATATACTACTTACAATTTACACTTTGCTTAAAAAATATGGTTAGACTTTTTTTTTTTTATCTATGATAGTCAGAAGTTAACATAGGACATTACCTTTTTTTGTTTGTAGATCAATAAAACCTTTAAAAAGACAAACACAGAATTAAGAACGATTTGTTGTAGAAAGTCAGATATACAATGTATTTTTGGAATTCAGGCTGCTTCTTCAATATTTTCATTACGTGAACCCTAAATATCATTTAAGTGATTCCTAAATATCAATTATTAATGTATTCTGTAAAGTTTTTCTTGCATAAAATGATGAGAAAATAGATCTCTAACATTGATATTTCCATACTTACAATCTTCAGGGTTGTTTGTTATGTTCAGGTATTGTTTCAGTTCAGGACCTAGTGTTTTCACAGCTGTGTTAGTTTGATCGGGAGTACATCGGACACCAGATTCTTTTGTAATAAAATCCATTGAACACTCGGTAAATTCTTGCATTGCACTAAAATAAATTTGTAAGATTGAAATAACTATTGACTACAAAATGAAAATGCAACTTACTGACGTCATTTTTTACAAGCATACTGAGATTCTTGCATTAGCAATACTAGTCCCCTACCGGCAAGTGTAATTTGGTACCCATTAAAAATTGAAAATGTCGCAATTCCTTCAAAAATCACCGAAGCGAAACGAAATGCAAACTAAATTACTTGATCCGTAACTCATCACGATACACTCACATACCAAAAATCAGCTCAATATCTGCAAGCCTTTAGAAAAAAAGTGCGAAAAACTAAGTGGGACAGACTGACGGACAGATGCGGAGGAAACCTTTAGTCCCCTCCGGTTTCACCGGTAGGGGACTAATAATAAACTGGAGATAGTAGGCTATAGGTAGAGAAATGTTACCGACAGGTTTTCTAAAGCATGCATAATACATTGATTGTCAATAATTTGCAGAACATTGACAGTGAAAAACAACAAAATTATGTATTCTATGTCAGAGGGGATACAAATAGTCCACTTTCACATTGACAGACATGATTTTTAGCCGGACTCATTGCTCGTAGAGGAATAGCCGGCTTATGTTACGGTGTTCAACCGGAAATGCTGCTTCCTCACCGCCAAATCAAATACGAGTAAGAATACAGTACGTATGCTCAACCACCTTTGAGGCAATACAAACACTAAATTAAACAAATTTAACTTAACTAATTTTCTTTTAATAAAACAACAAAACATTAATGGTATTATACTCTCTCCATTCTTCTTCGATTAATTATTTGTTAGAAATAAAAAGGTTTTCACCAGGTCTCCTTGTCTGCGTCACATTCTATAAATAAAGGTTGTGGCTAACACTAATGCGGGGAGCACGTGACCCGATGTACACCTTGATGCAAAACTCCCCGCTGAGGACTCATCTGTACATAAACGTTTGACCTTCCGCATCAATGTTCATTTACTTATGTAAGTGGTATAAGACCCGAAACAATAAAAAAAAATGTTAAATTCAAACTACGTTTTATTTTTAAAAAAAAAAAAAAAACATTTTTAATTTATACTATATGCAATATATTTTTGTGTTACATATTCTTCCAGTGTCTGAACTTGTTGTTTATCTGTTATTACAATGTACATGAATGTTTCATGTATAACAGTCTTTGTTCACTATTCTGTAAATGAACCCGACTCTCTGTGCTTCTGAGTACTTTGATTTCTTTATGGTGTCAACCTATGGTCAAGCATGTATTTTCCAACGTAACATTACAAACTTTATGGAGCAATATCTGACAAAAGATTCCACTTGTTTGTGTGCATTAAGTTTTCTATATCGCTTCATAATATGCCAAAAAAAGGAATGGTACAAAATCGTCAAAAAGCATTTGAACGTTTGAAGAACTTACAGGTAAATTACAAGGATATAATGAGGAACATGTCATTTACGCAGACAAAGGGAGATAACTTATAAGAAATTTAGCCATCTTCTGAACAGAATTGTACACATCTAAAAACTAGAGTTTTCCATAGAAACCATGTGTCACATGCTATAGCATCATTAAAGATATAAAAAAAAATCTAAGAGTGGTCAGCTATTAAGAATTAAGACCTGGTATTTTTCACGTTATGACAAACAGTGCACATGCTAAAAAGCACAAACTGTCCCAAAAATATGCTGTATAGATGTATCGGCATTATGATCTATTTTGAAAAGTCAGTGGTTAAAGTAAAAGGTCACGAGATCGATAATCGTATTAATATTTCACAAAAGCCATAGTGCCATGCAAAACATGACCAAAAAAAAAAAATCAAATTCATACTTTTTACAGTTCTAAAGATAAACATTGTATACGGTTGTGACAGACGGATGGATAGGTAGACAGGCAGACGCCGGGTAAAGTGACCCCTAAGTGTCGTTCTGCTCTTCAGGCGACACAAAAATTGTCCATTGCCCTCTTCAGCTGAAGTATATTGTAAACTAGAGCCGAGCTCGTTGCAAAGCAACGAGTAGGTCTTCCGTTGGAGCTGCAGGCAGGAAGAAGTGACCTTGAGTCAAGGTCATACCATATCATAAGGTTATAAGCAATCTTGTAAGAGGTATCAACTAACAATGTTTCACTCTGTAGTATAAAGACGATAAAGGAATGCATGTGACCTTGAACTTGTCCAAATGACCTTGCGAAAGCCATGACACACTCTGGTTATGAGCAAACCCCATCTGTGTATTACTAACTTCTCAAATTCACTCATGTTCATACAGTCCATACATCCAGTCAAAATATTTTATCCTTAGTGACCTTGAACTTGAGTTTAGGCCATGTCACACTCTGCATGATACCAACAATGTTTCACTAGAAAAAGACGGTAACGAATTTAAAGCTTCTCATCCAAACTCATCCAAATGACCTTTCATCAAGACCTTAACACATACTGGTTAAGAAAAATCCCAATCTGTGAGTTATTGACTGGATAAGGTTAGCCATGTTCTTTCAGACCATAGATCGAGTCAAATAATTTATCAGGTTCCACACAATGATTTAAGGATTCATTGTGAATGTTTTTGTCTAGTTTGGATATTGAACAAGACGTGTTTGTGAAACACTGATGCCCCGGTATTGCAGCTTATGGCAAAGGTTTAAGTTTCTCAAATCCGTATCCAACTCCAAGGTCAAAGTCAAGAGATAAGAAATTATGTTACCCAAAGAAAGATCTCGCCTCAGTGAATATAACTGTGAAATATGAAACCGCTATAAGACTAACTATTGAAAAGCATGGCAAAGGTTTTTTTTTTTTTATACTCAAGTCAAATGTTAAGGTCAAGGATAGATTAACGATGTCCAAAGGAATGCCTTGTCATAAGAAATAGACATTGAAATATGAAAGCCCTAGCGTTAATTATTCAAAAGTTATGACAAAGGTCAACTTTTTTTTTCAAAAGTAGGTCAAACCCCAAGATCAAGGACAAAAGTCAAAACTGTCGGTACTCAAGGGAGGGTCTTGTCACAAGAAACACACGTAAAAATACGAAAACCCTAACATCAACCGTTGAAAAGTTATGAATGAGATTAAAATGTTTCAAAGGTAGGTCAAACTCTAAGGTCAAAGGTGAAAAGTCAAAACTTTTAAATTTTTTTAAAGTACGTCAAACTCCAAGGTCAAGGTCAAATAGTAAAAATTGTTGATATCCAATGAACAGCGTTTTCACAAGGAATACACCTGTGAATGTGAAAACACTAGTCCCAACCGTTCAAAAGGTATTGCCAAGGTTAGATTTTTTAAAAAGTGGGTCAAACTCCAAGGTGAACGTCACAAGGTCAAAAATATTTATTCCAAAGAAAAGGTCTTGTCACAAAGAATTTCGGATGTGAAGTATGAAAGCCCTAACGCCAACTGTTCAAAAGGCTAAAGAACAAGGTACGGTTTCAATACAAATCTTGCCCTGTGTTTTTCTTTAAAAATAAAAGTGATGTAAAAAATAAAAACTCATGCTTTTTGAATTATTGAAATTCATGCAGAAAGATCATACAAATCTTTTTTCTCACATGACCTTCCAAATGCTAATTGTGACGTCATAAACTTGTGCATTTTCCCGTATTTTCTTAAAAAGTTGCAGAAGACATCAATTTTCAATGGAATTTTCTTTCAGATGATATTGTTCACAGGCATCGCCCACAAAAATTTTGAGATATGTGATTTTTCAAAGAATTTTACACAACATATCTAAAAATTAACGTGGGCGACGGCTGTGGACACTATTTTCTTAAGGAAAATAACCCTTGAAATGGGTCATTTTGAGGCTTTTTCTGTTTAAAATAGAGAAATGCATCAAATTAATGACGTCATATATCCAGAATGGTACTCCATCATGCTATATTCTTTCCTGATTTATTACAGTCATATACTCAACTAATATTTAAGCCAGTTTCAAAACTTTTTGAAAACATTAAATTTTTAGGGCACAATAAAGATAAAACCATACCTTCTTCTTTTGCATAGTTGGTCAAACTAAAAGGCTGTAGAAAGGATAAGAGAGAATCCGAGATATTCAATCAAGCAAACTTATGATATTGCAGATCAAATAAAGCATGAGCTATAAGAGCAGGCACGTAGCATCAGCCTCCCCCTTTTTTCAGACCTAATTTTTTACTTTAGTAATGTTCATTGAAAGTCCCGTTGGCCCCCACTTTTTGTTGCAGTATTGTCCCGTTGTCCCCACCCCTTTCCGCCAGGAAATAGGATTCTGGGCTATTTTCCGATTTTGGTTTTGCTTGTGAAGTCTTTTCAGGTAAGTTAATTTTTTTCTCTGGCTGCCCCCCCCCCCCTTTTCAAAAACGATGCTATGTCCTTGAAAAGTAACATGTAGAAATGTCTGTCCTGGCATATGTTATAGTTTTATAATCTACAGCCTAACTTTGCACTTAAACCACAAACACATACGTGTAGTACAAAATAATGATAAAAATAGAAATAATCAGTAATATTTAATTATTAAGATAAAAATTGAAAATAATGCAAAAAATTCTATATTACATATATAGAGAGATTGTCAATCAAATGGCATGTTCAACGCAATAGCAGCAATAAGAAACTCGCCGACAGTTTTTTTTTTAAAAAAATTCCAAATTGCTTTTTAATTTCTACAGATATTTATAATCCTTTCAATGTATGTTCGTGGATTATTGATGGAATAATTTTAGTTACATGTCAAGTTTAATATTATGGTGTTTGTGCTTTGTAGCAAGGATTTGCTAAATACTTATAATTTTCTATGATTGTACCGAAAAGTAGATACATGTTTTAAAGCAGAGCTACCGCTCAAGCTTTATTTCTGTCGTGTAGATCTAGAAGTCCTTGTGTATATATCATAGGTAAAAGTACCAATACCGATGATCACATCCCTTCAAAGTTATATTATTCTTGTTTATTACGCCCCTTGCAGTGGCAGATCCAGGAATTTCATAACGGGGGGGGGGGGGCAAAGTAGAAGGCAGGGGAGGGGTCTGGGGGGGGCTGCAATGAAGCCCCCAGAGGGTCTATAACAAAGCCCTGGTGGGGATCCAGGGGCGAAGCCCCCAGAAGTTGACAAATTCTTACAAATAAGAGATGTTTTTTCCTTGATTCAAGGATAATGGACATTTTAGTTCTACATACAAAAAATTCGAAAACGGGACGGAAGGGGGGGGGGGGGTGCGTGCGCCCGGCGCGCCGGCCCTGGATCCGCCTTTGCTTTTTTTTATTTTATACATGTAGTTATGCACCTCACCAACCCTTCTTGTGTTCAAGATGTTTCAGTCGTTTGTTTGCATTATATTTTAACAAGAAGTCCGTGATTTTTTGTGTGAAGTTTAGTTTTTAAAATTCCGAAAATGACAGGCTAAAAGGATATTTATTATTGATGAAAATAATGAAATTGGTGATCAAAGTTCAAAATACACGTGCGGTGGCGATATTCAAAATTGACAGGAAGTCGCTTGACTTTTTAATACACTTAAAGATGGTGTCAAGAGGGAAGAGTTTGAAAGGTTTGATAAATACACACATGCATCACAGAGTTGACCAATATGAATGCATTATGATCAGGTCACGTGGTAAGTACCTCTATCACAATAATTGACACGTGGAGCACCTGCATTGATTTCTTATAATTAAGTTAAAAATTTGTTTTAAAAAAAATGAAGATATTAGTTAATAAAAGTTTTATTAATTATTTATTAATTAAACTGTAATGGTTTGGGTCGTGGATATCGGCCTGGGTAGCTCAGTCGGTACAGCACCTGAGTAGTGATGCAGGGGTCCCGAAGAAAATTAAAGAATATTTGTTAAAGGTACGTGTATAGTCAATCAGATTAGAAATACAGCGACTATCAGAATTCCGGGCCGTAAAAAAGATCTGATTTTGATTAGATCTCAGGTATAGGCGAATGTGTGTGTACTGAAAAGGTTAGTTAATTCATTCAAGATTTATTATATTGTTCGTTTGGACGAAGGCTTCATAAAAATATACACACTGCCTGTACAGGTACACTATACCGATACACATCAATGAATGTTCGGATTAATTCAAAAATTGGCGGACATTAATTTATTTTAGTTATCTAAAGGCAATGTTATTTCCAGAGACATTTATATTTTCTGTTTTTTATGTCTCGGATTTTTCTTTTTTGTGATTTACCGGTTTACAAAGGCCTGTGTTTTAACAGCTGTTCATAAACGCTGCCAATTAATATATGATCAGAGAAAACGAGACATCTCCCGGTAATTCATTTCTTATGGAAAATATATGGATTGAAATCTTAGCATTTACCTGTGTAATTACGATGTTACAATCCGTGACGATGACTGGCCAGGAGGACTACCCGTTATAAAAACAACTCATGATCAACTCAGCGGACCTATAATTCACTTTAATATATGCTGTAAATCAATAAAATAATTTCAGTGTAGTCGATATTTTATTGCAAAAATAATGAAAAAAAAAAAAAATACGGGATTTAGAATTTTTCTGTATTTCAAACTCTCGATATGCATATATTTGGGGCGCTCTTGCATATGCACTTATAAAACGTGCATGTTCTGTACTTGCATGCGTGTACATTGTATGTGTCCGTAAAACCTTAAGAGAGCTGATAAATGTGTTCTGATTTTCAGAAAAAATAATGGGAACCTATAAATAATTACACGTTTATCATTTTGTTCGCATACAGTAACAAGTTAAGTAGAAAAAATAATTTGTTCAACATCGAGGTGCCCGCGGCTCTCTGTGGCCACGTGTATGTAAACGAGGACTGGACTACAATACTTAAGACACAAAGCGGCAGAGATGGATGAAACTGTTTGCTATATTACAAAGACTTGAATTATATTACATGTATATTTGAAGGAATTTTTATTTATGTTAATGTTTATTTAATTCTATAAATAATAAATGGACATTCACAAGAGTGATGGTAAAAATAATATGTGCGTAGCATGCGTAGTAATTACAATTATTTACCGAAGCCCCCATTCAATTACAATTGCAGATGAATTAAAATACAACAACACGGGATAGAGCAATACTTTTTTTAAATGTATTGTTGCGTGAACAGACAAAAACAGCGATTAAAATTCAAAATGATTTTTATGCACCAGTGTTTGGAATTAAGATTATAAAAGATCGGTAAAGTAATCTTACTGATTCAATATAATCAAAAACATAACTTTCCATTAATTAATAGCTCTTTGTACAAAATTGACATTATACGCGATCACAAATACTAGCTTTGTTTATTGCCACAGGTGGCTAGTACACTGGTGACCTCGATCAAAGGCGTGGGATTCGCGCGTTGGGTTACATAACTAAACATCGAGCTGAACATGGAGACCGTAATATGCATACAGCTAATGATCGTGAATTATTCAATGCATACAGTTTAAAATCACTTACAAAGTTTGTTGTAATAATAAACGTAGAAAGATAGATTTAATATTCTCCGCTTTTGAACACTATTAATCTAATTTAAAAAAGAAGAAAAGAAAGACTAGTTGTAATAAATAATTTAATAGTGAACCATAAACCACGTTTTAAACCTTATTAAAAAGAAAATTAACATTAAATACCGCAGGGTATATTATTGATAGCAAGTCTGTTTAAGTTATACACATGAAGAGGTCTGATTTCCTTGCCGAATGAAAAACGTTACCTGTTTACCTGGCCTGCTTTCTAATACGTATTACGCAATACCCATGGTATACTCGAACAAAACAACATTTTCATTAGATCAAAAAGGTGTAAAAGAACAGTTTTGTTCCCAAGATCCAGATCGAAATATTTACCGTTTTTGAGTTATAAAGCAAAAACTTTTAAGGGCCCAAGATCCCTAATCATAGGGGCCAGCCCCTTTTAAATAGTATAATATGAAAGCCCTTGCAATTATGCACAACTTTTGTTCTACATGTCTTAACAAAATATTTCTAGTTTTCAAGATATAAAGGAAAATATGTCAAATTTTTTGCTGTTTTCCGCGTTCTAACTTTTGACCCCTCTCTAGCGCCATTTTTAATGCAAAAATCAAAAAACAAAAACCGATGTGCACAACTTCAATGCTTCCTCTTTTCAATTTCAAAGGGTTTTGTGCTCCAATTATAACCATTTCTGAGCCTTTGTCTGGAAATCGGAGGCATGCAAAATTCAATCAAAGGGGAATAACTCGTGAACGGAAGGTAATTTCCGAATTGTATTACGGTATTCTGACAGTGTTTTGTAAAGTCTAAAAGCTCTGAAAATTTGAACAAAATCTGTTTAAAAATGAGGAAGATATGAAGCGTCAAAGTTGGCGTCTAGGAAAAAAAAAGAATAATAAGAATAATCTTAATCGTCACAATCAGTAGAAGGTCTTCCGTTGGAAACGGAAGACCTTAATAACAGCTGGGATGTGGATTTTTTATGTGGATACACAGCGACCGGTGATCGGTTAACGCAGATGTCCACGAAAACCAATTTCCCCCCTCCGATACTATAAACAAAGTCCGTAAATGAAAGATTAATATGTCACACAGCAATAGAACGGACTCCTTTTTTTTTTTTACTCTTTTCACTCAGGAGCAACGCAAAGTCAGAAAAGGAGTTGGGTAGAGATTTAAAAAAAAAAAATACGTGAATTTGAAGGGTGTAAGAAAGTTTTTTTTTTTTAATTTTGTGGAATGTGAAAAACAGGCAAAGCTCTTTTTTAAACGAAAATATCGTGTGGATAAATACCTGCAGAAAGCATGGAAGTCTGAAGTTGTCAGATTAGCTTGATGCTCTGTGAGACACTTATCACTAGCTTCTTTCACGTATGTAATGTTGTCACATGCATTCACTTTCGCTTCTACAAAATGATATGATAGCATCAAGTAGGATTTTCCATTGAGGAAAAAAGGACGCACAATTAAAAATATTTACAAGAAAAAATGTGCGTCAAAAGACGTGCAATGCTTCTTGCGCGATGATCATCAAATGTTTTATCGAAAGGAAATGTCAAATTTCAAGGCTAGTTGTTGAGTGTAGATTACGTACTCTATAAATCGAAGCAATAATGAAAGTGTAAAATGTCAAGAACAAAACAATGCATGATTATTTTACATTAAAAAAGCTATGATGAACAAACCCCTTGATAAAGATATTTGATGAAATTATGGAAAGCTAGGTCTAGCAAAGTAAAAGGGACCAGGAAAGTCAATGACAGGTTAAGTGTGATCTGTAAGTATGTATAATTTTTAAAATTCGTGACAAAAACTTAAAAAAATAATACATACTTTCAGAGCATACCTGACATTGAATTTCTTGGTCCCTTTTACTTTGCTAGACTGGGCTATACAGATACATATTATAATACATCTGCTTCGTTAGATTCAATTGTAACTAAAATTCTTTAATGTATACCTTTTTCCTACTACACATTTCATATCACATGAAATTTCATTTTAATATAGAAACCTGTATCTTGACAAGTATGACCACATCCATTAAAGCAGCATTTTTGTGTCCCTGTACAATTGCTGTCCATCTGACACTCTTCTGCACATATTCCGGTGGCGTTTCTTGCTACAGCTGGACATTCACCGTCCTTCATTTCTATGTCGTAAAAATTTCATTACCAAGAGGAACGAACTAGATATTTCTATAGATATTTATGGTTTATGATATGGATTATGCATACCTCCTCTAAATAAGAAATAGTTGTCCACTTCTAGAATGTGAATTCTTCCCTTCTTTGTTTCTTCGAAAACTGAAGCTTCAAGATCTGCTAGCGACAGTTTGCTGGTGTCCAGTTTGATTTCAATATCAACATATACACTTCCCTTTCTGTAAGGGAGTATGATTTTTTTTCCTCTTAAATTTTCATAAGCAAACGTGTACAAGTATTTCTTTTTTATTTCTAGGTTATGTTGGAATGAATGCCTGCTTGATGAAAGTCTTAAATGCTTGATAGAGAAAATTTGATGACTGTTACTTAGACAGTTGCTTAATGACCTCTTCTCATTATATATGACAACCGGAAAACAAAAATAATCAAATAGAAGTCTCGTTACATTACTAGAGTTTCATATATCCTCACTTACCTAAATCTGACCACAGTAATTCCTAGAATTGCTGGGTGGTTCTCAGATGCTGCTGAAATCTGAATACAAAATAATGCTGATTTTCTTTTCTTGAATAGTTTTTCAAAGACGTCTTTTTTATTTAAAAAAAAAAAAAAAAAAAAAAAAAAAACTATCAATTTCTTTTTTTTCCTATGTTGAAAATTAACACATTTATACATCCCTTTATTCACAGGGTTTGGGTAAACCAACCTACAAGACACAAAATTATGAAAATTGGTAGAAACTTATATTGAAAAATTCTTACATTTGAAATGATACTTCGATTCCATTCTTGAAAATATGGAGACTCTGAATCAGACAAAGATTCACTCCAATTCAAGGACCTCAATCGCACGCTGAAGGCTACTCTCTTCACTGGTAAAAAATACATTAAAATGTGACTTAACATAAATACTTGATGAAGATACATGTACTGTATACAGGGTTATTTTCTCCCCGTGTTTTATCGCCCTATCACACTTGCAAACAATTTTACCAAATTTTAAAAAACTAAGTACGTTATGTATAATTCGAAGGCCCACAATTTTTTTCGTATTTTGATATACACGGTTGAAAAAATATAACTACTGTGTACATGTAGATGAAGACTGGTAGTTTTGATATATGCATAACAAAATTTCGCAAGTACGTTGATTAGAGGTATTCACAGGGTTTAAACATCCGTCCTTCCCGGAAATTGCTATTTTTCCACTATTTTTACAACAAATTCCCAAAATTGAAGTAGTGCACACCCCTCGAGCAAAATAAAACATATATATTTGAAAATAATTGGATAAAAGACAAGCAAAAATAATGGTAAGAATTTGCATGAGGAATGTGCAGTATGTTAATTTTGACATTTCATGACTATTTCCGGTGACGATACCGAGTTAGTCGAGAGGCGAATTCTTATCTAGGAGTAATAATAATGGTGTATTTCGTGTAATAATGTTTAAATATAAATTTATCACTGATTGGCCTTATTTATATTGCTTATACAAATATATTTGTCATGAAAATAGCATAAAAACTAAAAAGAATGTTTTATAGAAATGACAAATTGCGATAATATTTTATACAAATAAGCCTTACACTTGATAAATGTTGCCAACAAGAAGGGAAGAGATCAATTTAATATATATACTAAAGCAATGAAGTAAAAAAAAAAATGTTCAGCTGACAAATGAAATCATTAAAAGTATTATTGCAGAAAAGAAAATGCTTAAATCCTAGCCTTTATTTTATTTTGCTACTAAAACGGCCTAGTTGACGTCTGCATGTATGTAAATAAATTACGCAATAAACCCAAAGATGACGTCACAATAGGTCCCCTTGCAACACATTTTTTTTTGGATTGGGGGGGGGGGATAAATTCCCAATATTTTGGATACCGTTGGTCAGGACTGATCAGATTAATTAATATTCTGAAGTCTTGTATTTTTAGTCATTTATACAAGTGCACGGATGATGCTTCAATTATATATTTTCAGATTTTATAATTCCACGCACAATTTAAGCGTGTTGCATCTGCATAAGTTTATATTGTAGACATTGTCGATAATATTATGCATATAAAAACAAAGGCTCATATTTCACCTAGTAAAATTTATTTTCACCTGTATATTCTACTTAAGATCACCGTTCACGGTAGCTCAGTCGGTAGAGCGCTCGCTCCGTGTTCGGGAGGTCGTGAGTTCGAATCTCGGCCGCGACAGACCTAAGTCGATAAAAAATAGGTAGCAACTGTTCCTTCGCCATGCGCTCGGCACTTTGGAGTGAAAGTTGCGGGTCTTTCGGATGAGACCTTAAAAACCGAGGCCCCGTGTCACGGCAGGCTTTGGCACGATAAAGATCCCTCACTGCTCAATAGCCCTGAGTGCCGAGTAAAGGTCAAAATTTGAAGCCCTTCACCGGTATATGAGTGAAAAATTCTCGAATGGGACAGAAAGGTCCAAAAAAGAATTTCGGACAAATAAAAAAAAATAAAAAGCTGTATCGGATGAGGGGTTCACTTTTCAGCACTTTTACCTGTCACCAATTTCTTTCACCCCATTACGGCGGTGTATGTGTATCACACAATTAAATGTAAGTATATACTGTGGAACAAAATTATCTGTCAGTGTGGACAAGTCTGAAAAAAAGTTATTTATCATGCACGAAGAATCAGGGGGCAGGGCCACTTCCCACTTTTTTCCAAACTTTGAAAATGTTCATTGACAGACTGCCCCTCCCCCTTCTGTTTGCTGTAGCATAGGTAAAGTTTAGTAATTTAGTGTATTGGGGGAAAAATTGATTGTGAAAAAAAGTTTGAACCTACCGAGACACGGGGCCTCGGTTTTTAAGGTCTCATCCGAAAGAACCGCAACTTTCACTTCAAAGTGCCGAGCGCTTGACGAAGGAACAGTTGCTACCTATTTTTCATCGACTGAGGTCGGTCGCGGCCGTGATTCGAACACACGACCTTCCAATCACGGAGCGAGCGCTCTACCTGAAATGGACTGAAAAGCAGGCATAAATGCCTGTGATCTTTCTCTCCATAGGTTTGGTATCGAAGGCTTACAATACTTACTTAAAGATAGGTTCTCATATTGAGCAAAACTTCAAGCAACGGTATTTATCTATAATTATATGTACGTTCTTAAAAGAAAGTACATGTTTATTTATATTTTATTTATATTTTATTTATTTATTTATTTTTGGAAAAGCTATACTGAATTGGTGAAAAAAAGCCTCAATAACTTGCTAAAGAAAATGCGATAGAAAGTTGCCTATGCCAACTATCCAAGAGAAGTGCTGCATCTCTACCAGCTTATAAGGGGGGGGGGGATACTTGATTCGTGCATTTGAGAAGGACCATCCGGTGACATATAAAATTATTGATCAAATGACAGCACTTTTTAATTTTTTTTTTTTTGGGGGGGGGGGGGGGGGCTTTTTCAGATGACGACAGAAACGTTTTAAACTCATTTTATTTAGATAAATTCGTGTATGACGCCGCGACTCGTTGGAAAGGATGGCCCGGGGAATTTGCCCTTTTGATGTTATCAATTAATTAAAATTTCAAATACTTTTTCGAAAATATCTTTAATGCTTTTTCATAAAATTTTATAGGGAATCTGACATTCTATAAAATAGTGTTAAAAGTTTTAATGCAATCTTAAAAACAAACCAAGGAATTCGCATAAAAAATAGTCTAGCTTTTGAAAATCAAACTCTTGCTTGAATTAGAATAATCGGATACTTATGATAAAAGTACTATTAAATATGCGTTAAGCATCTCTCTCTCTCTCTCTCTCTCTCTCTCTCTCTATCGTTTTAAAAATCATATAAAGTAATCTTAGTTTCATTTGTACGTATATTTTAGGACCCAAAAACCAAACTGTTTGTCTGAGGCCAATATTTAACCGATCGATGGGTCGACAAAACGCATTTTGCCCGAGCACAGAACATAGTCAATAAATGTTTTGTTATACCTTTGTATCTTGTGCTAGATTCCATAGGTAAATTTACGCAAACCACTGCGGTTAAAATTGGGCAATTTCGTCACTGTCGAACACCAACGAATGCAAATGAGATTTAGCTGATCCCGCCCACAATTTTGACGTAAGCGGTTCAATTTCTCATCGACAGGTCAAATATCTTACTCCGCGGCCAAACATCGATTTTTTTATGACCGCTCAGTACAACATTGGGAATGTGTATAGATTTATATAGAAACCAGTTTTTAAAGGTATAACAAATTTTGTGTTGTACTCTGGAAATCTTCAGAATAAACTCTGAAAATATTGTAGAGAGCAAATGTCAAAAGCGATTCGTGCATATGTGTATAAATGATAGAGGCTGTTTTCGAATGATTAAAACTCTGTATCAGACAAGGGCGGTCTGTGAGAAAATGGATTATCAGTAAAAACAAAAAAAAAATGTGAACAGAAACTTTGAGTTGGTAAAATCGTGGAAAGAGAAAGGCGCTTCAAAGTTGCTGATCTTGTAAATGCACATTTACGCGGTAAAATTAAAAAAATAAAGAAAACGGACAAACAAAATTAAATTATGCTACTGGTACGATTGTTAGCAAAAAAAAAAAGAATTTGATAGAGAAACGCTTTTAATAATTGCCTATTGGACTAAACTGTGTGATATGAAAACACCATGACGCAATGTTTTTGGACGTTGTAATGCAGCTCCGGGGTTACCAAACATGTTGATTTCAAAATTAAGTAAATTGATTTCTGTTAAATCGAATGGAATGAAACTTCACACATCAATAAAATAAATATTTTTTATATAAGAAAATGTGTTCTTTTTTAATATTTCATGAGAGTAATATAACGAACTTTTCAACAACCCTCGTATTTGCATAGCGTCGCTAAGTTGACGTCATAACGTCATAGTGTTATTTTCCAAAGAAACTACATATAATAAGATAGCTTTGTAGGAAAATTGATTTGAGATAATTACAAAAATTAAGCTGAATTAAAAAGAGGACATCGTAGACATGCTTCAAAAAAATCTTCGTCAGATTTGGGGACAGGGCCGATTTTGGTGCATAATGTACTTTCTTCTTTGTCCATTTACAGTTCTGTTAAAGAAATTATACTGTTTTCTTTGAATTCGTCCCATCTTAAATTCGCCCACTTGTGTCTAGGATGAAAGGCGAAAATAAAACGGAGGCGAAAATTTCCCTGTATACAAGTATTCTGCTCCATAAAAGTCTTAAGAACATACGCAGAGTAGTTTTGAACTGAATTTTTCATTCCTTGTATACATGAAGACTTCGAATAATTCAAGGACATTTGTGGAATTCATATAATGCCTAATGATGCTGTACATCTCTTCTAAAACACGTTTTGAGGAAATACTAGCGAAATCTATATGTTTGGTAACTTTTGTATATTTTTCTTTCAACAACACAAGGATTTACATCATTTGATATCTATTCAAAACCCTTGGTAATGTATGCTGACTTTTGATCTCAGAAAATCTGATGGTACAATCATATACCTAAAATGTCTTGAAAAAATGTCAGTGGGTAAGGTACCTTGCAATGTATGACCTAAAAATATGAAATCAAAATTTCTTTCTTGCCAACATTCCCTACAACCCCCGAATAATGAATTATACATAAACTTAGAGTCATAGGCACATCTGGCAATCTTTTTCCTATTATTAAATAAATAAAGATATTAATTTAAAAAACAAATTTAAAGACCAAATTACACTCACCCATAATCTTTCCAATGTCCTTATAGCCTGAAATTGAAAACAAAATGGGATGCAATAAAAATAATTAATCCGGTTTAAAGTCCACGTATTAACTAAAAAATCCTTACAGTCAGCAGGATTATATGTCAGATTCAAGTCTGCTTTCATTCTTGATCCAAGATTTCTCATGGCTGCAGATATCTGATTAAGAGTACACTGAACTCCTTTCTCTTTCGTTACTATTTCCATCGAACATTTGATGAATTCACCAAGCACGCTAAAATAATTGTTTTTTAAATATGCATAAAATTTGGATCTCAATCATTGATAAAAGAAATAGTATTCAACTCATAATATTTATTCGATTTAGATAAGCTACATGAAATATTAATCATTTATGCCTTCTTACAATGCTGACATTATAGTATTACAATATTCAAAGTGGATTCATTTGTATGTAATACGATATATAATCAAAAAATGTAGTATTAAAACGTGTCAATACATACCTACAAAATGTTTGATTATCTCTAGCTGTGGTCAGATTAGTTTTATACAAAGGGGCACATTTCCCCCCTACCTCCAGTAGGTACTCCATGTCATCACAGGGGGATGTTTTGTAATTCTCCACTAAATACCAAAGTCATTGTTGAGCAATGAAATGTATCCCAAGAAGAAATTAGTTTCAAGTATGAGTGAGAGCATTTATTTTCCAGAGCAATCGCAAATACGGTAATTACCAAATTCATTGCATTCTTTTATGTATGTTAACAAAAGGGGTATAACAATCAAATTTCATCATACAAAGAGTTTACAATCGTGTAGTAAAAGGATTGTAAATATTTGAAAAAAAATGTGACCTTCTTCTTCATTTACAATTGAAATTTTATGCAGCATATAAAACGTTATTCTTCTTTTAGTAAATAAAATTGGTTGTATGCAAAAATATTCAATAACTGATGAAGAATTCCATGCTTTCAAGTAGACACCAGGAAACTAATACCAAAATTGGAGAAAGAAATTCAAATGAAGGTAAGAAACCTGTATCTTGACAAGTATGACCACATCCATTAAAGCAGCATTTTTGTGTCCCTGTACAATTGCTGTCCATCTGACACTCTTCTGCACATATTCCGGTGGCGTTTCTTGCTACAGCTGGACATTCACCGTCCTTCAGTTCTATGTCGTAAAAAATTTCATTACCAAGAGGAACGAACTAGATATTTCTATAGTGATTTATGGTTTATGATATGGATTATGCATACCTCCTCTAAATAAGAAATAGTTGTCCACTTCTAGAATGTGAATTCTGCCCTTCTTTGTTTCTTCGAAAACTGAAGTTTTAAGATCTGCTAGCGACAGTTTGCTGGTGTCCAGTTTGATTTCAATATCAACATATACACTTCCCTTCCTGTGAGGAGTATGATTTTTTTCCTCTTAAATTTTCATTAGCAAACATGTACAAGTATTTCTTTTTTATTTCTAGGTTATGTTGGAATGAATGACTGCTTGATGAAAGTCTTAAATGCTTGATAGAGAAAATTTGATGACTGTTACTAAGATAGTTGCTTAATGACCTCTTCTTATTATATATGACAACCGGAAAACAAAAATAATCAAATAGAAGTCTCGTTACATTACTAGAGTTTCATATATCCTCACTTACCTAAATCTGACCACAGTAATTCCTAGAATTGCTGGGTGGTTCTCAGATGCTGCTGAAATCTGAATATAAAATAATGCCGATTTTCTTTTCTTGAATAGTTTTTCAAAGACGTCTTTTTTATGAAAAAAAAACTATCAATTTTTTTTCCTATGTTGAAAATTAGCACATTTATACAACCCTTTATTCACAGGGTTTGGGTAAACCAACCTACAAGACACAAAATTATGAAAATTGGTAGAAACTTATATTGAAATATTCTTACATTTGAAATGATACTTCGATTCCATTCTTGAAAATATGGAGACTCTGAATCAGACAAAGATTCACTCCAATTCAAGGACCTCAATCGCACGCTGAAAGCTACTCTCTTCACTGGTAAAAAATACATTAAAATGTGACTTAACATAAATACTTGATGAAGATACATGTACATGCACTGTATACAGGGTTTTTTTTCGCCCCGTGTTATTATCGCCCTATCACACTTGCAAACAATTTTGCCCCGTTTTAAATTTGTCCAGTTACAGTTCTGTTTAAGAAATTATACTGTTTTCTTTGAATTCGTCCCATCTTAAATTCGCCCACTTGTGTCTAGGGTGAAAGGGACGAAAATAAAACGGAGGCCAAACTTTCCCTGTATACAAATATTCTGCTCCATATAAGTCTTAAGGACATACACAGAGTAGTTTTGAACTGAATTTTTCATTCCCCGTATAGATGAAGACTTCGAATAATTCAAAGACATTTGTGGAACTCATATAATGCCTAATGATGCTGTACATCTCTTCTAAAACACGTTTTGAGGAAATACTAGCGAAATCTATATGTTTGGTAACTTTTGTATATTTTTCTTTCAATAACACAAGGATTTACATCATTTGATATCTATTCAAAACCCTTGGTAATGTATGCTGACTTTTGATCTCAGAAAATCTGATGGTACAATCATATACCTAAAATGTCTTGAAAAATTGTCAGTGGGTAAGGTACCTTGCAATGTATGACCTAAAAATATGAAATCAAAATTTCTTTCTTGCCAACATTCTCTACAACCCCTGAATAATGAATTATACATAAACTTAGAGTCATAGGCACATCTGGCAATCTTTTTCCTATTATTAAATAAATAAAGATATTAATTTAAAAAACAAATTTAAAGACCAAATTACACTCACCCATAATCTTTCCAATGTCCTTATAGCCTGAAATTGAAAACAAAATGGGATGCAATAAAAATAATTAATCCGGTTTAAAGTCCACGTATTAACTAAAAAATCCTTACAGTCAGCAGGATTATATGTCAGATTCAAGTCTGCTTTCATTCTTGATCCAAGATTTCTCATGGCTGCAGATATCTGATTAAGAGTACACTGAACTCCTTTCTCTTTCGTTACTATTTCCATCGAACATTTGATGAATTCACCAAGCACACTAAAATAATTGTTGTTTAAATATGCATAAAATTTGGATCTCAATCATTGATAAAAGAAATAGTATTCAACTCATAATATTTATTCGATTTAGATAAGCTACATGAAATATTAATCATTTATGCCTTCTTACAATGCTGACATTATAGTATTACAATATTCAAAGTGGATTCATTTGTATGTAATACGATATACAATCAACAAAAAATGTAGTATTAAAACGTGTCAATACATACCTACAAAATGTTTGATTATCTCTAGCTGTGGTCAGATTAGTTTTATACAAAGGGGCACATTTCCCCCCTACCTCCAGTAGGTACTCCATGTCATCACAGGGGGATGTTTTGTAATTCTCCACTAAATACCAAAGTCATTGTTGAGCAATGAAATGTATCCCAAGAAGAAATTAGTTTCAAGTATGAGTGAGAGCATTTATTTTCCAGAGCAATCGCAAATACGGTAATTACCAAATTCATTTGCATTCTTTTATGTATGTTAACAAAAGGGGTATAACAATCAAATTTCATCATACAAAGAGTTTACAATCGTGTAGTAAAAGGATTGTAAATATTTGAAAAAAAAATGTGACCTTCTTCTTCATTTACAATTGAAATTTTATGCAGCATATAAAACGTTATTCTTCTTTTAGTAAATAAAATTGGTTGTATGCAAAAATATTCAATAACTGATGAAGAATTCCATGCTTTCAAGTAGACACCAGGAAACTAATACCAAAATTGGAGAAAGAAATTCAAATGAAGGTAAGAAACCTGTATCTTGACAAGTATGACCACATCCATTAAAGCAGCATTTTTGTGTCCCTGTACAATTGCTGTCCATCTGACACTCTTCTGCACATATTCCGGTGGCGTTTCTTGCTACAGCTGGACATTCACCGTCCTTCAGTTCTATGTCGTAAAAATTTCATTACCAAGAGGAACGAACTAGATATTTCCATAGTGATTTATGGTTTATGTTATGGATTATGCATACCTCCTCTAAATAAGAAATAGTTGTCCACTTCTAGAATGTGAATTCTGCCCTTCTTTGTTTCTTCGAAAACTGAAGTTTTAAGATCTGCTAGCGACAGTTTGCTGGTGTCCAGTTTGATTTCAATATCAACATATACACTTCCCTTCCTGTGAGGAGTATGATTTTTTTCCTCTTAAATTTTCATTAGCAAACATGTACAAGTATTTCTTTTTTATTTCTAGGTTATGTTGGAATGAATGACTGCTTGATGAAAGTCTTAAATGCTTGATAGAGAAAATTTGATGACTGTTACTAAGATAGTTGCTTAATGACCTCTTCTCATTATATATGACAACCGGAAAACAAAAATAATCAAATAGAAGTCTCGTTACATTACTAGAGTTTCATATATCCTCACTTACCTAAATCTGACCACAGTAATTCCTAGAATTGCTGGGTGGTTCTCAGATGCTGCTGAAATCTGAATATAAAATAATGCCGATTTTCTTTTCTTGAATAGTTTTTCAAAGACGTCTTTTTTATGAAAAAAAAAACTATCAATTTTTTTTCCTATGTTGAAATTTAGCTCATTTATACAACCCTTTATTCACAGGGTTTGGGTAAACCAACCTACAAGACACAAAATTATGAAAATTGGTAGAAACTTATATTGAAATATTCTTACATTTGAAATGATACTTCGATTCCATTCTTGAAAATATGGAGACTCTGAATCAGACAAAGATTCACTCCAATTCAAGGACCTCAATCGCACGCTGAAGGCTACTCTCTTCACTGGTAAAAAATACATTAAAATGTGACTTAAGGTCAAGATCTAGTGAATGAAAGGTGCCCACAGATTTCTCAAATTTGAGATACACATTCTTTTAATGATCCTTTACGAATATAGCTTGGTAAAATAATGTGTATCCGGACATAATTTGGGGTAAACTCATCGGAAAAACATATTATAAACTGCCCATTTTCAATGAAAAATGAAGAAAGTCTGGTATAAATATGGGAGTTTTTTCCATCTCAGACAAAGGAAATGTATCAATATTGCCTACAGTCTCTCAGAAAACGGTTTTTCATATCTTCTTGATCTCTACTTTAAAATGATATTAAACGGAATAAGGGTTCCGGAGTTATATTTGACATGATTTCAAATTAAATTCCATGAAAGTGCTTTATTTTCTACATGATTCTATTGAAGCCGTAAAGTACGGGAAAAATTAAGTTTAAATCAATTATGACGTCATAATGAATCTAGCACCAAGAAGAAAGTCTAAACTCATTTACTAGATCTTGACCTTAACATAAATACTTGATGAAGATACATGTACATGCACTGTATACAGGGTTTTTTTTCGCCCCGTGTTATTATCGCCCTATCACACTTGCAAACAATTTTGCCCCGTTTTAAATTTGTCCAGTTACAGTTCTGTTTAAGAAATTATACTGTTTTCTTTGAATTCGTCCCATCTTAAATTCGCCCACTTGTGTCTAGGGTGAAAGGTGCGAAAATAAAACGGAGGCCAAAATTTCCCTGTATACAAGTATTCTGCTCCATATAAGTCTTAAGGACATACGCGGAGTAGTTTTGAACTGGATTTTTCATTCCCTGTATAGATGAAGACTTCGAATAATTCAAGGACATTTGTGGAACTCATATAATGCCTAATGATGCTGTACATCTCTTCTAAAACACGTTTTGAGGAAATACTAGCGAAATCTATATGTTTGGTAACTTTTGTATATTTTTCTTTCAATAACACAAGGATTTACATCATTTGATATCTATTCAAAACCCTTGGTAATGTATGCTGACTTTTGATCTCAGAAAATCTGATGGTACAATCATATACCTAAAATGTCTTGAAAAAATGTCAGTGGGTAAGGTACCTTGCAATGTATGACCTAAAAATATGAAATCAAAATTTCTTTCTTGCCAACATTCCCTACAACCCCCGAATAATGAATTATACATAAACTTAGAGTCATAGGCACATCTGGCAATCTTTTTCCTATTATTAAATAAATAAAGATATTAATTTAAAAAACAAATTTAAAGACCAAATTACACTCACCCATAATCTTTCCAATGTCCTTATAGCCTGAAATTGAAAACGAAATGGGATGCAATAAAAATAATTAATCCGGTTTAAAGTCCACGTATTAACTAAAAAATCCTTACAGTCAGCAGGATTATATGTCAGATTCAAGTCTGCTTTCATTCTTGATCCAAGATTTCTCATGGCTGCAGATATCTGATTAAGAGTACACTGAACTCCTTTCTCTTTCGTTACTATTTCCATCGAACATTTGATGAATTCACCAAGCACACTAAAATAATTTTTTTTTAATATGCATAAAATTTGGATCTCAATCATTGATAAAAGAAATAGTATTCAACTCATAATATTTATTCGATTTAGATAAGCTACATGAAATATTAATCATTTATGCCTTCTTACAATGCTGACATTATAGTATTACAATATTCAAAGTGGATTCATTTGTATGTAATACGATATACAATCAACAAAAATGTAGTATTAAAACGTGTCAATACATACCTACAAAATGTTTGATTATCTCTAGCTGTGGTCAGATTAGTTTTATACAAAGGGGCACATTTCCCCCCTACCTCCAGTAGGTACTCCATGTCATCACAGGGGGATGTTTTGTAATTCTCCACTAAATACCAAAGTCATTGTTGAGCAATGAAATGTATCCCAAGAAGAAATTAGTTTCAAGTATGAGTGAGAGCATTTATTTTCCAGAGCAATCGCAAATACGGTAATTACCAAATTCATTTGCATTCTTTTATGTATGTTGACAAAAGGGGTATAACAATCAAATTTCATCATACAAAGAGTTTACAATCGTGTAGTAAAAGGATTGTAAATATTTGAAAAAAAAATGTGACCTTCTTCTTCATTTACAATTGAAATTTTATGCAGCATATAAAACGTTATTCTTCTTTTAGTAAATAAAATTGGTTGTATGCAAAAATATTCAATAACTGATGAAGAATTCCATGCTTTCAAGTAGACACCAGGAAACTAATACCAAAATTGGAGAAAGAAATTCAAATGAAGGTAAGAAACCTGTATCTTGACAAGTATGACCACATCCATTAAAGCAGCATTTTTGTGTCCCTGTACAATTGCTGTCCATCTGACACTCTTCTGCACATATTCCGGTGGCGTTTCTTGCTACAGCTGGACATTCACCGTCCTTCAGTTCTATGTCGTAAAAATTTCATTACCAAGAGGAACGAACTAGATATTTCCATAGTGATTTATGGTTTATGTTATGGATTATGCATACCTCCTCTAAATAAGAAATAGTTGTCCACTTCTAGAATGTGAATTCTGCCCTTCTTTGTTTCTTCGAAAACTGAAGTTTTAAGATCTGCTAGCGACAGTTTGCTGGTGTCCAGTTTGATTTCAATATCAACATATACACTTCCCTTCCTGTGAGGAGTATGATTTTTTTCCTCTTAAATTTTCATTAGCAAACATGTACAAGTATTTCTTTTTTATTTCTAGGTTATGTTGGAATGAATGACTGCTTGATGAAAGTCTTAAATGCTTGATAGAGAAAATTTGATGACTGTTACTAAGATAGTTGCTTAATGACCTCTTCTCATTATATATGACAACCGGAAAACAAAAATAATCAAATAGAAGTCTCGTTACATTACTAGAGTTTCATATATCCTCACTTACCTAAATCTGACCACAGTAATTCCTAGAATTGCTGGGTGGTTCTCAGATGCTGCTGAAATCTGAATATAAAATAATGCCGATTTTCTTTTCTTGAATAGTTTTTCAAAGACGTCTTTTTTATGAAAAAAAAAACTATCAATTTTTTTTTCCTATGTTGAAATTTAGCTCATTTATACAACCCTTTATTCACAGGGTTTGGGTAAACCAACCTACAAGACACAAAATTATGAAAATTGGTAGAAACTTATATTGAAATATTCTTACATTTGAAATGATACTTCGATTCCATTCTTGAAAATATGGAGACTCTGAATCAGACAAAGATTCACTCCAATTCAAGGACCTCAATCGCACGCTGAAGGCTACTCTCTTCACTGGTAAAAAATACATTAAAATGTGACTTAAGGTCAAGATCTAGTGAATGAAAGGTGCCCACAGATTTCTCAAATTTGAGATACACATTCTTTTAATGATCCTTTACGAATATAGCTTGGTAAAATAATGTGTATCCGGACATAATTTGGGGTAAACTCATCGGAAAAACATATTATAAACTGCCCATTTTCAATGAAAAATGAAGAAAGTCTGGTATAAATATGGGAGTTTTTTCCATCTCAGACAAAGGAAATGTATCAATATTGCCTACAGTCTCTCAGAAAACGGTTTTTCATATCTTCTTGATCTCTACTTTAAAATGATATTAAACGGAATAAGGGTTCCGGAGTTATATTTGACATGATTTCAAATTAAATTCCATGAAAGTGCTTTATTTTCTACATGATTCTATTGAAGCCGTAAAGTACGGGAAAAATTAAGTTTAAATCAATTATGACGTCATAATGAATCTAGCACCAAGAAGAAAGTCTAAACTCATTTACTAGATCTTGACCTTAACATAAATACTTGATGAAGATACATGTACATGCACTGTATACAGGGTTTTTTTTTCGCCCCGTGTTATTATCGCCCTATCACACTTGCAAACAATTTTGCCCCGTTTTAAATTTGTCCAGTTACAGTTCTGTTTAAGAAATTATACTGTTTTCTTTGAATTCGTCCCATCTTAAATTCGCCCACTTGTGTCTAGGGTGAAAGGTGCGAAAATAAAACGGAGGCCAAAATTTCCCTGTATACAAGTATTCTACTCCATATAAGTCTTAAGGACATACGCGGAGTAGTTTTGAACTGGATTTTTCATTCCCTGTATAGATGAAGACTTCGAATAATTCAAGGACATTTGTGGAACTCATATAATGCCTAATGATGCTGTACATCTCTTCTAAAACACGTTTTGAGGAAATACTAGCGAAATCTATATGTTTGGTAACTTTTGTATATTTTTCTTTCAATAACACAAGGATTTACATCATTTGATATCTATTCAAAACCCTTGGTAATGTATGCTGACTTTTGATCTCAGAAAATCTGATGGTACAATCATATACCTAAAATGTCTTGAAAAAATGTCAGTGGGTAAGGTACCTTGCAATGTATGACCTAAAAATATGAAATCAAAATTTCTTTCTTGCCAACATTCCCTACAACCCCCGAATAATGAATTATACATAAACTTAGAGTCATAGGCACATCTGGCAATCTTTTTCCTATTATTAAATAAATAAAGATATTAATTTAAAAAACAAATTTAAAGACCAAATTACACTCACCCATAATCTTTCCAATGTCCTTATAGCCTGAAATTGAAAACGAAATGGGATGCAATAAAAATAATTAATCCGGTTTAAAGTCCACGTATTAACTAAAAAATCCTTACAGTCAGCAGGATTATATGTCAGATTCAAGTCTGCTTTCATTCTTGATCCAAGATTTCTCATGGCTGCAGATATCTGATTAAGAGTACACTGAACTCCTTTCTCTTTCGTTACTATTTCCATCGAACATTTGATGAATTCACCAAGCACACTAAAATAATTTTTTTTTAATATGCATAAAATTTGGATCTCAATCATTGATAAAAGAAATAGTATTCAACTCATAATATTTATTCGATTTAGATAAGCTACATGAAATATTAATCATTTATGCCTTCTTACAATGCTGACATTATAGTATTACAATATTCAAAGTGGATTCATTTGTATGTAATACGATATACAATCAACAAAAATGTAGTATTAAAACGTGTCAATACATACCTACAAAATGTTTGATTATCTCTAGCTGTGGTCAGATTAGTTTTATACAAAGGGGCACATTTCCCCCCTACCTCCAGTAGGTACTCCATGTCATCACAGGGGGATGTTTTGTAATTCTCCACTAAATACCAAAGTCATTGTTGAGCAATGAAATGTATCCCAAGAAGAAATTAGTTTCAAGTATGAGTGAGAGCATTTATTTTCCAGAGCAATCGCAAATACGGTAATTACCAAATTCATTTGCATTCTTTTATGTATGTTGACAAAAGGGGTATAACAATCAAATTTCATCATACAAAGAGTTTACAATCGTGTAGTAAAAGGATTGTAAATATTTGAAAAAAAAATGTGACCTTCTTCTTCATTTACAATTGAAATTTTATGCAGCATATAAAACGTTATTCTTCTTTTAGTAAATAAAATTGGTTGTATGCAAAAATATTCAATAACTGATGAAGAATTCCATGCTTTCAAGTAGACACCAGGAAACTAATACCAAAATTGGAGAAAGAAATTCAAATGAAGGTAAGAAACCTGTATCTTGACAAGTATGACCACATCCATTAAAGCAGCATTTTTGTGTCCCTGTACAATTGCTGTCCATCTGACACTCTTCTGCACATATTCCGGTGGCGTTTCTTGCTACAGCTGGACATTCACCGTCCTTCAGTTCTATGTCGTAAAAATTTCATTACCAAGAGGAACGAACTAGATATTTCCATAGTGATTTATGGTTTATGTTATGGATTATGCATACCTCCTCTAAATAAGAAATAGTTGTCCACTTCTAGAATGTGAATTCTGCCCTTCTTTGTTTCTTCGAAAACTGAAGTTTTAAGATCTGCTAGCGACAGTTTGCTGGTGTCCAGTTTGATTTCAATATCAACATATACACTTCCCTTCCTGTGAGGAGTATGATTTTTTTCCTCTTAAATTTTCATTAGCAAACATGTACAAGTATTTCTTTTTTATTTCTAGGTTATGTTGGAATGAATGACTGCTTGATGAAAGTCTTAAATGCTTGATAGAGAAAATTTGATGACTGTTACTAAGATAGTTGCTTAATGACCTCTTCTCATTATATATGACAACCGGAAAACAAAAATAATCAAATAGAAGTCTCGTTACATTACTAGAGTTTCATATATCCTCACTTACCTAAATCTGACCACAGTAATTCCTAGAATTGCTGGGTGGTTCTCAGATGCTGCTGAAATCTGAATATAAAATAATGCCGATTTTCTTTTCTTGAATAGTTTTTCAAAGACGTCTTTTTTATGAAAAAAAAAACTATCAATTTTTTTTTCCTATGTTGAAATTTAGCTCATTTATACAACCCTTTATTCACAGGGTTTGGGTAAACCAACCTACAAGACACAAAATTATGAAAATTGGTAGAAACTTATATTGAAATATTCTTACATTTGAAATGATACTTCGATTCCATTCTTGAAAATATGGAGACTCTGAATCAGACAAAGATTCACTCCAATTCAAGGACCTCAATCGCACGCTGAAGGCTACTCTCTTCACTGGTAAAAAATACATTAAAATGTGACTTAAGGTCAAGATCTAGTGAATGAAAGGTGCCCACAGATTTCTCAAATTTGAGATACACATTCTTTTAATGATCCTTTACGAATATAGCTTGGTAAAATAATGTGTATCCGGACATAATTTGGGGTAAACTCATCGGAAAAACATATTATAAACTGCCCATTTTCAATGAAAAATGAAGAAAGTCTGGTATAAATATGGGAGTTTTTTCCATCTCAGACAAAGGAAATGTATCAATATTGCCTACAGTCTCTCAGAAAACGGTTTTTCATATCTTCTTGATCTCTACTTTAAAATGATATTAAACGGAATAAGGGTTCCGGAGTTATATTTGACATGATTTCAAATTAAATTCCATGAAAGTGCTTTATTTTCTACATGATTCTATTGAAGCCGTAAAGTACGGGAAAAATTAAGTTTAAATCAATTATGACGTCATAATGAATCTAGCACCAAGAAGAAAGTCTAAACTCATTTACTAGATCTTGACCTTAACATAAATACTTGATGAAGATACATGTACATGCACTGTATACAGGGTTTTTTTTTCGCCCCGTGTTATTATCGCCCTATCACACTTGCAAACAATTTTGCCCCGTTTTAAATTTGTCCAGTTACAGTTCTGTTTAAGAAATTATACTGTTTTCTTTGAATTCGTCCCATCTTAAATTCGCCCACTTGTGTCTAGGGTGAAAGGTGCGAAAATAAAACGGAGGCCAAAATTTCCCTGTATACAAGTATTCTACTCCATATAAGTCTTAAGGACATACGCGGAGTAGTTTTGAACTGGATTTTTCATTCCCTGTATAGATGAAGACTTCGAATAATTCAAGGACATTTGTGGAACTCATATAATGCCTAATGATGCTGTACATCTCTTCTAAAACACGTTTTGAGGAAATACTAGCGAAATCTATATGTTTGGTAACTTTTGTATATTTTTCTTTCAATAACACAAGGATTTACATCATTTGATATCTATTCAAAACCCTTGGTAATGTATGCTGACTTTTGATCTCAGAAAATCTGATGGTACAATCATATACCTAAAATGTCTTGAAAAAATGTCAGTGGGTAAGGTACCTTGCAATGTATGACCTAAAAATATGAAATCAAAATTTCTTTCTTGCCAACATTCCCTACAACCCCCGAATAATGAATTATACATAAACTTAGAGTCATAGGCACATCTGGCAATCTTTTTCCTATTATTAAATAAATAAAGATATTAATTTAAAAAACAAATTTAAAGACCAAATTACACTCACCCATAATCTTTTCAATGTCCTTATAGCCTGAAATTGAAAACGAAATGGGATGCAATAAAAATAATTAATCCGGTTTAAAGTCCACGTATTAACTAAAAAATCCTTACAGTCAGCAGGATTATATGTCAGATTCAAGTCTGCTTTCATTCTTGATCCAAGATTTCTCATGGCTGCAGATATCTGATTAAGAGTACACTGAACTCCTTTCTCTTTCGTTACTATTTCCATCGAACATTTGATGAATTCACCAAGCACACTAAAATAATTGTTGTTTAAATATGCATAAAATTTGGATCTCAATCATTGATAAAAGAAATAGTATTCAACTCATAATATTTATTCGATTTAGATAAGCTACATGAAATATTAATCATTTATGCCTTCTTACAATGCTGACATTATAGTATTACAATATTCAAAGTGGATTCATTTGTATGTAATACGATATACAATCAACAAAAAATGTAGTATTAAAACGTGTCAATACATACCTACAAAATGTTTGATTATCTCTAGCTGTGGTCAGATTAGTTTTATACAAAGGGGCACATTTCCCCCCTACCTCCAGTAGGTACTCCATGTCATCACAGGGGGATGTTTTGTAATTCTCCACTAAATACCAAAGTCATTGTTGAGCAATGAAATGTATCCCAAGAAGAAATTAGTTTCAAGTATGAGTGAGAGCATTTATTTTCCAGAGCAATCGCAAATACGGTAATTACCAAATTCATTTGCATTCTTTTATGTATGTTAACAAAAGGGGTATAACAATCAAATTTCATCATACAAAGAGTTTACAATCGTGTAGTAAAAGGATTGTAAATATTTGAAAAAAAAATGTGACCTTCTTCTTCATTTACAATTGAAATTTTATGCAGCATATAAAACGTTATTCTTCTTTTAGTAAATAAAATTGGTTGTATGCAAAAATATTCAATAACTGATGAAGAATTCCATGCTTTCAAGTAGACACCAGGAAACTAATACCAAAATTGGAGAAAGAAATTCAAATGAAGGTAAGAAACCTGTATCTTGACAAGTATGACCACATCCATTAAAGCAGCATTTTTGTGTCCCTGTACAATTGCTGTCCATCTGACACTCTTCTGCACATATTCCGGTGGCGTTTCTTGCTACAGCTGGACATTCACCGTCCTTCAGTTCTATGTCGTAAAAATTTCATTACCAAGAGGAACGAACTAGATATTTCCATAGTGATTTATGGTTTATGTTATGGATTATGCATACCTCCTCTAAATAAGAAATAGTTGTCCACTTCTAGAATGTGAATTCTGCCCTTCTTTGTTTCTTCGAAAACTGAAGTTTTAAGATCTGCTAGCGACAGTTTGCTGGTGTCCAGTTTGATTTCAATATCAACATATACACTTCCCTTCCTGTGAGGAGTATGATTTTTTTCCTCTTAAATTTTCATTAGCAAACATGTACAAGTATTTCTTTTTTATTTCTAGGTTATGTTGGAATGAATGACTGCTTGATGAAAGTCTTAAATGCTTGATAGAGAAAATTTGATGACTGTTACTAAGATAGTTGCTTAATGACCTCTTCTCATTATATATGACAACCGGAAAACAAAAATAATCAAATAGAAGTCTCGTTACATTACTAGAGTTTCATATATCCTCACTTACCTAAATCTGACCACAGTAATTCCTAGAATTGCTGGGTGGTTCTCAGATGCTGCTGAAATCTGAATATAAAATAATGCCGATTTTCTTTTCTTGAATAGTTTTTCAAAGACGTCTTTTTTATGAAAAAAAAAACTATCAATTTTTTTTTCCTATGTTGAAATTTAGCTCATTTATACAACCCTTTATTCACAGGGTTTGGGTAAACCAACCTACAAGACACAAAATTATGAAAATTGGTAGAAACTTATATTGAAATATTCTTACATTTGAAATGATACTTCGATTCCATTCTTGAAAATATGGAGACTCTGAATCAGACAAAGATTCACTCCAATTCAAGGACCTCAATCGCACGCTGAAGGCTACTCTCTTCACTGGTAAAAAATACATTAAAATGTGACTTAAGGTCAAGATCTAGTGAATGAAAGGTGCCCACAGATTTCTCAAATTTGAGATACACATTCTTTTAATGATCCTTTACGAATATAGCTTGGTAAAATAATGTGTATCCGGACATAATTTGGGGTAAACTCATCGGAAAAACATATTATAAACTGCCCATTTTCAATGAAAAATGAAGAAAGTCTGGTATAAATATGGGAGTTTTTTCCATCTCAGACAAAGGAAATGTATCAATATTGCCTACAGTCTCTCAGAAAACGGTTTTTCATATCTTCTTGATCTCTACTTTAAAATGATATTAAACGGAATAAGGGTTCCGGAGTTATATTTGACATGATTTCAAATTAAATTCCATGAAAGTGCTCTATTTTCTACATGATTCTATTGAAGCCGTAAAGTACGGGAAAAATTAAGTTTAAATCAATTATGACGTCATAATGAATCTAGCACCAAGAAGAAAGTCTAAACTCATTTACTAGATCTTGACCTTAACATAAATACTTGATGAAGATACATGTACATGCACTGTATACAGGGTTTTTTTTCGCCCCGTGTTATTATCGCCCTATCACACTTGCAAACAATTTTGCCCCGTTTTAAATTTGTCCAGTTACAGTTCTGTTTAAGAAATTATACTGTTTTCTTTGAATTCGTCCCATCTTAAATTCGCCCACTTGTGTCTAGGGTGAAAGGGACGAAAATAAAACGGAGGCCAAACTTTCCCTGTATACAAATATTCTGCTCCATATAAGTCTTAAGGACATACACAGAGTAGTTTTGAACTGAATTTTTCATTCCCCGTATAGATGAAGACTTCGAATAATTCAAAGACATTTGTGGAACTCATATAATGCCTAATGATGCTGTACATCTCTTCTAAAACACGTTTTGAGGAAATACTAGCGAAATCTATATGTTTGGTAACTTTTGTATATTTTTCTTTCAATAACACAAGGATTTACATCATTTGATATCTATTCAAAACCCTTGGTAATGTATGCTGACTTTTGATCTCAGAAAATCTGATGGTACAATCATATACCTAAAATGTCTTGAAAAAATGTCAGTGGGTAAGGTACCTTGCAATGTATGACCTAAAAATATGAAATCAAAATTTCTTTCTTGCCAACATTCCCTACAACCCCCGAATAATGAATTATACATAAACTTAGAGTCATAGGCACATCTGGCAATCTTTTTCCTATTATTAAATAAATAAAGATATTAATTTAAAAAACAAATTTAAAGACCAAATTACACTCACCCATAATCTTTTCAATGTCCTTATAGCCTGAAATTGAAAACGAAATGGGATGCAATAAAAATAATTAATCCGGTTTAAAGTCCACGTATTAACTAAAAAATCCTTACAGTCAGCAGGATTATATGTCAGATTCAAGTCTGCTTTCATTCTTGATCCAAGATTTCTCATGGCTGCAGATATCTGATTAAGAGTACACTGAACTCCTTTCTCTTTCGTTACTATTTCCATCGAACATTTGATGAATTCACCAAGCACACTAAAATAATTTTTTTTTAATATGCATAAAATTTGGATCTCAATCATTGATAAAAGAAATAGTATTCAACTCATAATATTTATTCGATTTAGATAAGCTACATGAAATATTAATCATTTATGCCTTCTTACAATGCTGACATTATAGTATTACAATATTCAAAGTGGATTCATTTGTATGTAATACGATATACAATCAACAAAAAATGTAGTATTAAAACGTGTCAATACATACCTACAAAATGTTTGATTATCTCTAGCTGTGGTCAGATTAGTTTTATACAAAGGGGCACATTTCCCCCCTACCTCCAGTAGGTACTCCATGTCATCACAGGGGGATGTTTTGTGATCCTCCACTAAATACCAAAGTCATTGTTGAGCAATGAAATGTATCCCAAGAAGAAATTAGTTTCAAGTATGAGTGAGAGCATTTATTTTCCAGAGCAATCGCAAATACGGAAATTGCCAAGTTCATTTGAATTCTAAAGAAAATATATGACATTGTTTTTTTTTTATTTATACGTGAAATTTTATGCAGCAATTCAATCTGTCACATGTTTACCCCTTTATACAGTGGATATTTCTCATTGAATATCGTTTTCATATCCTCTTTACGTTATGACGTTACAATGGTTTTTGTGATAATTTTATTACGTCAAATATTATAGATTTACAGATTTTAAACAGTTTAAAACTTGAGATAGCTATGTATAGATCATGTGATAAAAAGGATCTCCCATGGTTTGCGGTTAGATATGATTTTTGATCCAACGTTTTGTGTGTTTTTATCCCTTCGCCAAGGCTCGAGGAAAACATCTTATCCAACCACAAATCATGGAAGATCCTATATATACATTTGTTTTTTCGTTTAATAGATAAAATTGATTGTATGCAAGATTTCAAATAATTGATGAAGATTTCAATGCTTTTAAGTATACACCAGGAATATGAACCAAAATTGGAATAGGAAACTTGAAACTACACAATGGAGGATGCCCCCATATAAAAATAATTAATAATGGCTTTGCCGTTCTTGCAAAGAAATTAAAAAAATTAAAAAAGATTTTTTCTGTATATTCCTATGTAAAACTATGATCGCTCCACCCTTACCCTAGGGTCATTTCAATAAATTGAGAATGCTTCCATATAATAGGACTAATCAATACTTTGCTGTTCTTAAGAAGAATGTTATATATATATATATATATATATATATATATATATATATATATATATATATATATATATATATATAGTACCGACCAGACACAACCTAACACCAGAGCGAACCCAAAGCGCACCCCGGGTTCGCTTTCTGGGTTTGCTCGGGGTCCGCTATGGGTCCGCTTTCAGAAATTTTGGGTGCGCTCTGGGTTCGCTTCGGGTTCGCTCTGCGTTCGCTCGGGGTCAGCTCTGGGTCCGCTAGAGCGAACCCGGCGTTCGCTTTCTGGGTTCGCTTTACGCACTCATGCGCGAAGCGGACCCCGCTTTAATCTTGACGCCAGTAAGCTCCGCCCCTTGTTTATTCCAAATACAGCAGTGAAATCGATCATTGTTGTTTTTGTGGCGATCGATACATGTGCATGTGCAGTGGCTGCAATGTTATTGTTGACAACATACACGAACGATCACTTTTTACACAAAATAGTTAAAAATATTTAGGAGTGGATATTTTTAAAAAAAAAAACAACTTATTAATAGATATTTTAGATTAAAAATATTTACTGCTACAATTAATCGACTTTGGAAAACTGAATAAAAAATTATGGAAAAAAATATTTTTGAAACTACATGTAAATAAGATTTAATAGGTATTTCAGATTACAAATAATTATTAATGTAATTCTCCGACTTAGAATTTTTTTTTATCTTTTTGATACGTAAAAATGTAATTTATGATCGAATGCAGCATGTTCTATCATATGATATGATAAGTTGACTGTGAGTTTTGATTCTATTGGATTTTATAATATGCAGTATGGGGGTAAAAAATTTTTAAAAGTGGTCTAAATATTGAATGAATACTTATATTCATCTTTCCATTTATGAATTCAAAAATCAGCATTTTTTTAAAATTCATTCATCTCCAGAAATTAAAATAATAAGTATCAAGGATAAAAAGTAACCCCGACAATCATGTCGGGTACATTTGTCGACTAATTATTTATATAAGTATTGGGAATTAATATTTTTTTTGTGAAAATGTACATTTCTGATGTTTTATTATAAAAATATCATGACTACAATAAGCAGTTAACTGGACCAATCATCAGAGAGAAAAAAAAATCGTTAAACATCTTAAATACGCTTTATTATTTAAAGTTACGCTATTTAAAAGAATTCAATACTGTACGACTTATTATATTGCTTATTTACTACCGATAATTAGTTCGTTCAATAACGTACATGTAAATCGTGCGTTTTTTTTTCTTTTTATTTCAGTTAATAATAATAAAAAAAACAACAAGGTAAATCAAGCTTTACATTATTTTTTTGTAAAAGATAAATCAAAATAATACCATAGTAGTTTACGATTGGACATACAGTACATGCACATTCATGCTGTTCTTTTTTTTTTTTTTTAATTATTTATTTATTAATTTATTTTTTTTTTTACTTTTTTTCAATTAAGAAGATTAATAATTTTGATGTTGATCTGGATTTAAACAAAAATGTAAATTAGAATAATAAAAATAAAATAATTGAATGAAAGCACGTACATATACTTAATCTTGTACAGTATCTTGAGATAATGAAATGTTATAATTTGTCAAAATACTTTTTTTTCTTTCTTTTTTTAGTAACAATTGTGATAACCATTATTTTCTTTTATAAATTAAAGTACTCTTTGTCTGATAAATTTACGCAATATAAATAAATGGATTTTAAAAATAAAAAAAAATAAAGAAAATAAATGTATAAATATAACATGCTACCTAGATATTAATTTATAAATATAAATATTTATTTAATCGTGTTAATAATAATTTCACACTGAACATAAACACGCTTTGCTTGTAGAATGTTTTATTTACATCGAATGACAAACTGGCATGCTGATCGGTCGACGCGCTGATTGGTTAACACGTCTTATCGCTAATCCTGATTGACAGATCAGTCACGCAACACCGAACGCGCGTTCACTTGCTGAATTTGGGATTCGCTTTCGGCGTTCGCTCTGAGTCCACTGCGGGTTCGCTCGAGGTGCGCTCCGGGTTCGCTCGGGGTCCGCTATAGCGAACCCCAAGCGAACCCGAAGCGAACCCAGGCAGCGAACCCGGGGTGCGCTTTGGGTTCGCTTTCTGTTAGGTTGTGTCTGGTCGGTACTGTATATATATATAAAGCACATTTTACAACAACTCTTAAACTAACATAACTGCCCTAACTGAAGAAATATTAATACAGAAAGCACAAAGAAATTCACTTTTATAAGGATACCCACGGGGTTGAACTCTCGACCTTCGGAATCTGTATCCTAGCAGTACAGGAACAGCGTGCTAGACCGCTCGGCTATCTAGGCAAGTCAAAAAACTTGCTTTTGATGCCGATGGAATTCTCGCGGCGCTGCCCTACACTACACAGTCATTGAGAATGGAAGTGAGATACAGTTATTTGGACATTAGTTTTTATTAGAGAATCGTTACCAATACACGTTGTAATGAAATTAATTTTTATTGATTGTATATATATATATATATATATATATATATATATATATATATATATATATATATATATATATATATATATATATATATATTCCTTTTAAAACTTTGTTAGTAGCCCATTGTGGCCCTACTCTAGCCGACGGACCCGTGGGTCATAATATGAACAAACTTAAATCTAGACTACCGGCGGATGCTTTCATAAAAATATTACTAATCATGACTTTGCTTTTCTAGAGAGGAAGATTTTTAAAGATGTTATAATATATTCATATGGAAAACTATAATCGCCTATTGTTGCCCGCCCTAGTTCCGGGGTTCGTGATTTGAACAAACTTAAATCTACCTAATGTAATGAAGCTTTCAAAAAAATTTCATCCCTACTGACCCAGTGATTACTGAGATGAAGAATTTTAAAAGATGTCATTTTATTGCATTTTTAAGTGTGTAATTCTCCTATTTATTTATTGAATAAAAGTGATATTTCGTCACAGTGTGAAATAATATCAAAATGATAATTTGTAACACATTGTGAAAGAATATCAGAGGTCTGGTAATACTTGAGATTTTCCTTTCCTTCACGAACAATATCATAACAGGATGCCAATGGGCCACATCGCTCACCTGAGCATATTGGATCCCCAATTGTGGCCCATCCCTATCCCCGGAGGTCATCATTTGAACAAACTTGAATCTACACTACTTGAGGATGCTTCTATATTAATTAGACTAAACATGGCTTTTCTGTTTTTTTCCTTTATATTCCTATGTAAAAATTTTATCCCCCATTGTGGCCCCACCCTATCCACGGGGGTCATCATTTGAACAAACTTGAATCTACACTACCTGAGTATGCTTCAATATCAAATTAACTAATAATGACTGCTGTTCTTGAAAAGAAGATTTTAAAAGTTTTTTCCTATATATTCCTACGTAAAACTTTGCCCCCCCCCCATTGTGACCCCAACCTAACCCCAAGGGTCATGATTGGAACAAACTTGAATCTAAACTACCTTAGTATGCTTCCATATCAATGTGACTAAACTTGGCTTTTCTGATCTTGAGAAGAAGATTTTTTTCTTTTATATTCCTATATAAAACTTTGACACCCCCATTGCGGCCCAAATCTACCCCAAGTGGGTCATCATTTGAATAAATTTGAATCTACACTACCCGAGTATGCTTCCATATAAAAATGACTAATAATTATATATAATGGCTTTAATGTTCTGGACAAGAAGATCTTTAAATTTTTTTTCCTATATTTTCCTATGTAAAGCTTTGATCCCTAACTGTGGCTCCACCCTTACCCTCAAGGGTCACGATGTGAACAAACTTGAATATACACTATCTGATGATGCTTCCGTATCAATATGACTGAGCACAGCTTTGTTATTCTTGAGAAGAGGCTTTTTATAAAAAATTGTATGTATTCCTATACAAAATTTTGATCCCCTAGTGTGGCCCCACCCTACTCCCCGAGGTCATGATTTGAACAAACTTGAATCTACACTATGTAATGAAAGTTTCATATACTAGTAAGTTTCAAATTTTCTGGCCTAATGGTTCTTTAGAAAAAGATTTTTGAAAGATGATCTCTCCTTGAAAGAGAGTGTGGTCATTTATTTGAACGAACTTGAATCCCATTCAAGGATGCTTTGTGGCAAGTTTGGTCAAAATTGACCCTGTGGTTCTTGAGAAGAAGTCGAAAATGTGAAAAGTATACTGACGGACGCCAGGCAAAATGTGATCAGAAAAGCTCACTTGAGCATGTGTACAATGTTTTCAATCTCACGATCGCTTTAAGCTATGACGTCTCAACCGCTCAACTATGACGTCACAGCCTATGACACCGTGCTACGATTAGAAAAAGGCAAAAGGAAACTCAAGAAAAATAAACAGAAAATTCTATATTTTGTAGTTAAATATGGAATTTATTTCACTAATGAGACAGGATTCTTTTATATTTTCACTCGTGCTTCGCATCGTAAAATTACATGTATGAGAAAGTTCTGTCCCACTCTACAAAACAAATAAAACTGTCCTGTTGGTAACTTAAGTGTTCATGCGACTAGAACATCATGTTTACCTGGTTTTTGACAGGTGTGTCCACATCCATTATAACAACATTTGTCAGACCCTGTGCAGTTGATATCCATCTGACATTCCTCAAGACAAGTTCGAGTTGTACCATTTTGTATGAATGGACACTCACCATCTTTTATTTCTGTAATATATCGTATGTATTCAAACTCATTTCCAGTATGACAATTCTTAAAGAGCATCATACAGAGAATATCCAAATAGATCCTACCTCCTCTGTATATGAAATAGTTGTCAACTTGAAGTTGATGAACGGTTCCGTTCTGTACGACCATTTTGACTGCATTCATAGCATTACTTATAGGCAACAGAAAGCTATCATATGTAAACACCATGTCCACATATATACTTCCTCTCCTGCACAACAAACCGAAATAATGCGACTTATGCTCCATTAAGTATAATATATTTAAAAAAAAACAAGTATGTGATATCATTGCAAAAATTAAGATCACCTCTAGTTACATTTCATTCTAATAAGCACTGATAACCAAGAAAAAATTTAACAACACTATGGCTACATGTAGGAAAAGCAGCAATGAGTTTATTATTGAAAAACTTAAATATATAAGTGGTCTCAACCTACTCCCTCCAGGGCGGGGGGATTTTAGCAAACCTGATTCTACACTAACTGAGGATGCTTCCATATTTCTTTGGAAGACTTTTTAAAGATTTTTCCCTAAAACTTTGATCTTTTATTATGACCCCGCCCTTTGATTTGAACAAACTTGAATCTAAGCAGCCGATGATGCTTCTGTATTAATATGACTAATCATAATTTTCATGTTCTTGAGAAGATTTTTAATGTATTTCCTTTATATTCCTATGTATAACTTTGATCCCCTGTTGTACTTGTGGTCCCTCTCTACCCTCGGGGTTCATGATCTGAATAAATTTTAATCTACATTACCTGAGGATGCTTCTACATTTAGAATTTGACTGTTCATGTCCTTGCTGTTCTTGAGAAGATTTTAAAAGAGTTTCCCTATATATTCCAATTTATAAGTTTGATCATCAGTTGTTGCCCCACCCTACACCCGGTGGGGTTGACATAATCTGAACAAAATTCAATCTTCACTACCTGAGGATGCTTCTATATGAATATCGCATGTATTATTTTGATCCTCTGTTGCGGCTATATCCTACCCCCGGGGTTTATGATTTGTAAGATTTTCCTAAGTATTCTTACGTAAAACTTTGAAAGCCCATTGTACCCCTGGGGGCCATGATTTGAACAAACTTCAATCTACACTACCTGAGAATGTTTCCATATAGATATGATTTTGGTGTTCTTCAGAAGATTTTTAAAGATTGTTCATATGTATTCCTATGTAAAACTTCGTTCGCCCATTGTGGCTTCACCATACCCCTAGGGATCATGTACGTTTTCACATAACTTTCATCTTTTCTGGCCCAGATGTTCTTGAGAAGATTTTTGAAAATGCCATTAATTTCATTAATTTTCACTAATTTCTAATAGTTTGCCCTTGGAAAAAGGCGTTGCGCTTCATTTGAAAGAACTTGAATCTCCTTTACCGAACGATGTTTTGTGGCAAGTTTGGTTGAAATTGGCCCAGTGGTTCTTGTGAAGAAGTCTAAAATGTGAAATGTTTACAGACAGACAGACGGAAAGCTAGACAGACAAACGGGCCGGACAAAATTTGATCAGAAAAGTTCACTTGAGCCTTCGACCCAGGTGGGCTAAGACACAAAAAATTTGTGTCGTACTTAGTAGACAATTACACCAGCTGTGTGTCACGTAGACAATGAATAGTGATCGATCCCCAAAATATCTACAAACAATACAAATCTTTGAACATGGCATAAAACACGGATCCCTGGAAATTCCAGAGGTGGGATCAGGTGCCTAAGAGAAGAAAGCATCCCCTATCAACTGGTCACACCCGCTATGAGCCCTATATATTGATCAGGTAGACAAAATATATTGTAGTCAAATTTAGTATAAAATCAAAGGCCTTACAATTTGTATGAAACACGTCATTCAAAATATGAGCCAATGATAGGTAATATTTGCCAACAAGATCATTACACACTGTATAACGGCGATAAAATTTATGAAATGCTGACTTTAAACAGGTACTGAAATCATTATAACTTCAACTTTTTTGTCAGTAGCCTGCCTCGGTTTAATTTCTCAAAAAATTTAACTTTTTAAAATACTTTAATGGGGCACATATATCTACTTTTTACAAGACCTTTGATCTAATTAAGGTCATTCGTTTTCACGGATGACCTTTTAGTGATTCTACTATATTTTTTTATTAAGGTCTCCGTTTCCAACGGAAGACCTTATAGAGATCCTACTGTTTCTTCTTATTATTTTTTGGCCATTCTGAAATCACGATTTCTCGTAATCTATTCCGTCTTTTTGAATGAAATTCACAGTGTTTAAGCGTCTCTGAATGGGATTTTGATATTTTTACTAAAAATTGAAAAATCTCTTTTAAATCGCAAATTATTGAAATTATTCTTTTTTCGCCTTAAAATGTTACTGGTGCGAGATCTCAGAATTAAGGACATACGCAACGTACCTTACCTACTGATAATTTTTCAAGATATTCTTAATTTAAGATTATAGTGCCATCAGATGTTCGTAGTCAAAAAATCAGCATGCATTACCAGGGTTTTTGATAAGATATCAATTGAAGAAAATTCTTTAAGAATTCAAAGAAAAATACACAAAAATTACTAAGCATATATTCTAGGTGTTTTTTTTAATTCAAACTTGTTTCAGAAGAAGTGTACAACAGCATATATAGACATAAAAATGTACCACACAGTTCCTTTAAGTATTGGAACTCTTCAAATCCAGGGAAAAAGATAATAAAGTTTAAACTACGTTGCGTATGTCCTTAATAAGAGATCAAAGTCTGAAACTTTCAGGATTGGTAGTCTGTTATCTCTAGTTATGCTTAGGGTTCAAATAGTGCGTTCCCGTCACTTCCAGTCACGACAGGAAGAGATTTAAAATAGCAATTTTTTCGCCTTTTTTATTTTTAAATTTTTATTTTATTAGTAGGGATTATTGAGAGTTTGATCAGAATGCTTAATATGTAATTTGTTTTAATATTGAGTAACCCATTCTTAAGATATTTCTCTCGGTGTTCATAATAGCGCAATGGTTAAAGCACTTGATTTGCAAGCGGGCAACCCAGGTTCCATGCCCAGGATTTCGAATTTTATCTCTTAATTATTTCAGCTGGAATATACGTTTTTATCTTTAAAATGATGTCTGATATCTTTCGTTCAATTTTCTGATTTTTAGATAAATTTTAAATTTCATATTTCATGCATGATTGAGTTACAGGGATTGCACCGGGGTAAGCTATGTTACATGTATTTTAAGAGTATCTAAGCTTCACTTAAAATTCACTTCTGAGGCTGAGTTATGGACCATTTCCTGAATTCAAAATGACATTTTGTCCACTGATAATCTCGAGAACGACAAAAGATATCAATATCAAACTTTCAGGGATTAGAGATCGTGATATATATATATTATCTTTGCAGCTATTTTTTGTTCATTGTCGGTACTTCCTGTCGCTCATGAAGTGAATTTCAAAAATCGATTTTTTCAATCTTTTTCAAACTTTTTATTTTTCTCTGATATAAATAGGGGGTGATAGAGCGTCTTATTAGAATGCCAAATTTATCATTTGTTTCAAAATTATTCAAACTATTTTCTAGATATTCATCATTTTACACTCTGAACCGGTAGTTCCCATAGCATTATGCCTAGAGTCGTGGATATTCATGTGGGCAACCATGATTCAATCTCCAGAGTGTGCATATTTTTTCAGCCCTTTTAGCTTAAATATACATTTTTATCTGTAAAATGATGTGTTCAAGACCCCAGAACATTTACTGGAAATATTGTAACATGCAGCTATGTCATTTACATTTGTTACAGTCAAAGCGTTTGATGATAGACATTGAAAAAAGGGCGGGTTCAATTTGTCGCTGACGTCTGAGAAAACATTGGATGGAAATTCTACTTCGGAGTATAATTTCAATTAAATGTTTTCTCATACGTCTGTGTCGAATTGTCCCCACCCATTTCGTTGTCTCTCTTCAAATGTTTTGACTGTATCCGATGGAAATGATATAAGCAGCATGTTTCCAATCTTGCCAGTTAATGTTCCGCGGTTATTATTAGTCCCCTACCGGTGAAACCGGAGGGGACTATAGGTTTCCTCTGAGTCTGTCCGTCCGTCTGTCCGTCTGTCTGTCTGTCCCTCTGTCTGTCTTTCAGTCTGTCCCACTTGGTTTTCCGCACTTTTTTTCCTAAACGCTTGCAGATATTGAGCTGATTTTTGGTATGTTAGTGTATCTTGAAGAGTTACAGATCAAGTTTGCATTTCGTTCCGCTTCATTGATTTCATGAATAAAATTCAGTTCCGTTGATGTGATCTGATATTTTAGCAGCATTCAGTCTTTTTTGTCTATAGAATTTATAATAATTTTATTTACAATTAAATTATCTTTAAAAAGTAGCGATTGTCAGCTGTATTCATTAGCATTTCATAATTTCTTGTTAATATATTGCTTGCATATGAATAACTTCATTCAATGATAGTTAGAATAATTAAAATTCAATTTCCATCGTATTTAATTTGAACTGGGATCCGCTCCCGCACTTGCTTGAAGGCCTCATCACTACTGTTTAGCACTCCGGAAATGTACGTTCGTGATTCTGCTACACTAAGAAAGTTTACACATAATTTATCATCTCAAAAAAGCCGCTGTCCTATGTAAAAATACCCGATCTGAAGATGAAAATTCAGGAATTATTTTGCATGCTTCAGTCATGTTTTGATGTGAACCTGGCATTCTGTTAATTAAGGTCTTTCGTCTTTTACAGAAGACCTTCTTGTTATTCCTAATATCAGAGAAAAATTAATAATATTATTTTACACCAATCAGATCTCTCAAAAACAATTTCTTCTAGATAATAATTTATATAGCGTGTGTGGGAAAAGGGGGGTGGGTGGGGCTTTTTCTACGAATACTCACTTTTTTAACCATTGGTTATGGTTCAGTTCGGGGTGACATAACCAATAACCATAACCAATTGCTATTTGCAATAGCAAATTTTCTAGTTATTATTTTTTGCTTTTATTTTGCAATATTTTCACAGTTTGTATTTAAAATAAACCTTAAATAGTAGTATTTTTGTCTGTATAACTAGAACATATATGCATCTCTTCATGCATACAATATTGTATATGAAGACGGAAGACCTTGTTGCTTTGGAGTTTGTCTAGTAATTTCTATTATTCTAATAAGTATAAATTTTCTTTTGCAATTTTTTCCT